GTTTTTGTCTGTTGAATTTATTTGCAGAATATGTATAATCATATTAAAGTATAATTGAAATGCCGACATGATTTGTGAAAAGAATCTATAAATAGACATGAAAAAATTCACCAGCTAATGAAATATATACGATATATAAATAAATGATCTGTTAAATATATATGTGAAGTGAGTTTCTAATGTGGTTATTCATAAATAAAATTAAACAAACAATTAATCACATCGCTTTCAAAATTAATGGACTGTGTCTCTTTAGCTGCATTCGATGAAAATTTGTAGTGCCAGTTACTATGCTAAGTACATATAATTTATCAATTCTTCTTGAGTCACGTTTTGACCTTGTTAATTATTCACTTATCAACCCTGTTTTTATATAAGCGTATGTGTGTGTACATGTTATATTAATCATCATGTCTGCAGCTTATTTTTGTGTGACTATAAGTATTGATTAACGATTGATTGAATGGAGTTGGCTTATATGTCTTCTCCAGTGCGCGCCGTTTCACTTCACATTCTTCGTTTCTTTCGCTGACCGCCTGTCTCGATCAACGAGTGTATAGAATATACGTATTCAAACATCAATTCTCGCACTCGACTTTTTTAATTCCGTTATTCACCAACGCGATTTAAGTCGATGATTATATACGAGGATTGACATGTATATTTCAATAACATTCATACGACCCAATTGGAGTCACATCCCGGGTAACTAAAAATTAGTTGATGATTTCCCCAATAAATCAATGTAAGAGCACACCCAGTAGCTGTTATTCACAATTCTCGGTCCTGTTTTCTGATAACTGTGATCACAGTTCATAGAATTGAAGTTATATTTTTCAATACAACTGAAAGATAACATAGATTACGTTTTATAAACCTAGAAATATAACGATTCGCAACCAAATATTGTTGGATGTATAACTGCTCATAACATTTGGTGTTATTTATTTATTTACAAGTTATGTTAGGGTGTTATAAATGATACTTTTGTATTTATATCTTAATGATATCTGTTATAACTGAGCTAAGCAACCAATAACTTGACAAAATATCTATATACTACTATAATATTCAACTTGATCAAATGCGGACAATTCGAAAGAATTTTTTGAAAGTATAATAGTATCGCAAGAACAGGTGGGATATTAACAGAAACAACATATTCTTCTCATTATGTAATCCTATTAATAGTTTTATGGAGGTTTGTTTCGGATACTTTGGTTTCATTAGTAAAAAACAATCTGAAAGATTTCTACAGAATAACACACATACACGTTAAATGTTTCAAAAGTCTACTTCCTACGTTTCTGTATATATTATAATAGGAAGTTGTTTCCTAATGTATTACATAAACATATTGTTTACATTTAAGGAAGAGACCATCATTGATATTACTTGGTTACCAGAACCGAAGTAGATGAGGATAGGCCCGAACCTGTAACAAATATCATGAATTATATCTCAAGTTTTTTTTTATGATGGGACTGACATTTCGGTAAAATTAGAAAGACTGAATTAAAACCTTCGTGAAGATTAAGTTAAATTCATTGAGAACCAGACATCAATTTAACTATAATAGAATGTGTTACACAATGATTTATCCGTTAGCACTATACCTTGTATCAAAGGAAACTCTCATTTAATGCACAAAAGGTAGAGAGATTTCGTTAAAATATTGTAACATTACATACTTGATGAATGTGATATGGCTACTTAGGCAATAAACATCTATCCCAGGCTCTACGTTGTTCATGACTGACACACTGAACAAAACGATATATCGAAAATAGAACTAACACTACTTACCCTAAAATTCATTAGTCGTTATAAAAACATCAACCAGTTAATATATCACACGAAATAGATTTAATTCTTTCAAAATACACCTCTATTAATATTTTTCTTCTTCTCAAGAACAAAATTATAAGGAGCAAGTTGGATGATCAAACAAACATAATAATAATAATAATAATTACTGGTTTAATAAATATATAATGTTTGCAACAATTTCAACAAAAGTATAATCAAATCATACATTTATTCTATTCTTTCTGGTTATTTCTTTTTACATGAAGCAGTTATCATTTGATTATGATTATTTTTTGTAACTAAAAATAAATATGTGTAAACAGCAAACAGAAAAATTAATCCATGTTAATTTAATTTCGTAAATAAAACTAAAATTTAAAAAGTCATATCAATTAAAGCAAACCACATGGCAAGAAGCACAATAAAAATTACAAATATGAAGACTGGCGAGGAACGGTAAAGGAAATAAGAGAGGGACTACAGGTTGTTTTTTTTTTAAAAATAATAGGAACAACAAAGCAAGTAACTATGATATTCTTAATAATAAACTTAAATGGAAATTCTTTCACCTCAAAACAAAGCCAATAGGTTTTTTTAAAATAATCTTTACGGTTTTTATAGTTTACTGACACATTTTATTCAATAAGTTTTCAGATTACATAGAGTTGAGGTGGGGGGCAGGGTAATAGAAAAATAAGAAAAATTCAGCATATTCTGAAACTAATGATCAATGGAAGAAGAGGGGAGGCGAGAAACAAGGAACAAAACACAATTTAATTGATATAAACATGCAAAATAAATCGCACATAGTTCATCAGACAACTGGTAGTAACAGAACCGGAAAGAGTTGTTGCTTAGACAATAAAAATAATCAGTACTGTACCGAGACAGAAAAAAACAACACTAATGATAACAACAAAGGGAGAGAGTAAGAGTATTAACGATATTATTACCGTAAAATTAATTTGTTTTACCTAACGCAAGTTTTATGTGAAGGGTCAATAAGCGTTAGACAAATTCAACATAAATATGTAAAGAAACAGCACTACACTTAAAGAAAGTCACATTAATTAAACGTAGGAGAAATGAAAAGAGTAAAATCGATTTTCACATGACAAAATTGTTTTATATACAAATAATAATTAATACTTAGTATATGAGACAAACGGATAGATAAGTGAACAGAATATATAATAATAGGGAATAAAAGTCAGATCAAGCTGGAAAATCAGTATGATTAAGGTAGATGATGTAAGAAAGTGAGAGAGAGAAAGTGTTAGAAAAAGTCAATGATAATAGACATATGAGCAACAACTATCATAGAAAAAAATCTTTATAATGATTAACTACAAGGTAAACAAATTAATTAAATTGTACAAGTATTATGAATGAGATTGGAGCGACAAAAAAACACACAACAAAACAACAACTTTTTTGAAAGACATAAACTTATTAACCTGTGTGAATAAAGGGAAATAACAAATCATTAAAGAAAAAAAAACAATGACATTGCATGAAAAAACAAAGGATTATTAGATAAATGTATGGTGCATAGTAATTTTACCATACTGCTCTATAAACACATACAACACACAGAAAAATAACAACAAATAGTTTGAGCCAAAAGTGGTAACAATGAAATTCGAATTAATTGAACGAATGAAACTCAATTAGTTTGTATAGTCAATGCAAGACTAAAAAAGAAATTCACATAGACAAATAAATAAATAGACTGGTAAGAATGACGGTTATGATCAAGGGGAAAATGTTTGAAAAGCTAAATACTATCAAAGAGAAAGTATAATAAATATGTATATTATTGAAAATACAGAGGATTGAAGCTATTATTTGAAAAAATTTCTAACAAAGGCATTATATATATATTGGCAAATAAATGACTTTTTGAGAAATAAAATAGGTTAACAAGAACAAAGAAATGGTTTTTTTTACACAATGTAATCATTTATTACACAGCTTGGCACATAGGACAGTAATATAGTGTTAAAAGGGATATAATGCAGCGAGAGAGTAGGAAATTGGACCCATCAATGGGTTTTGCATCCATTCTTTCTCTGTACGATTGTATATTTTATGGAGATATGCAGATGAAGTTGACAGGATGATTGATAATTCTTTTTTTTTTAAAAAAAAGAAAAGAAATTAAGAGGACCAATTACTAAATATAGAAGGATTTCAGTGCTAAGTAGTTAACGACCATTTTTGGTGACATTTCGGCAATTTACTTAATAATAACATAAATGTATAGAAAATTTCAATTTAGTTTATTTTGCATATTGATTATAAAGTTGAAACTATTTTACAAATTAAAATTAAATCCTTTAAATACAATAACTTCATTAGAATAAGAAATACATTGTATACCTGTAGATTTTTTAGGTGTATTTTTTGTTTCTATATTTCATTATAGTTTCTCGATTAATCAGAAACATTAAAAGTGACAATAATATCGGTTGGTTGGGTAAATAAACTTCACCAACACGGAATTTAGTCAATTTGAAAAACAGAAGACATTTGTTGGTACTGTTGTCCAGCTACAATAATGTATGCAGTCTCGTCCTAACCAAGATGGAGATAAATCTATCAGTGTGTATTAATTTTTATGATGTTGATAACAGATATGTGTCAGAGTATAATTCTGACAAATTAAACTAATGTATGACATAAACACGGAAAAACAAACCGCAATAGTTGTAAATGGGCGACTTAAACACTAGAGGTCTATTACCTAACATTACCACGATGATTAATATATATATATATATATATATATATATATATATATATATATATATATATATATATATATATATATATATACAGCCTGCCTTAAGATTCGATCCTAAGGAACATATAATGAACAGAACTGTATTTCATTAATATATCTATATATACCACAAGTTCTTATTTTTATTGTCAGCAACTTATTGTTATATATAATATCGAGTAAATCTTGAAAAACTTTTATAATCGTTGTAAACATTTGTTTAAACTTACGTAAATATCAATTCAACTGAATACGTGCATTAACAGATATTTCATTGAAGAAGCAGAAGAAAAAAGAAACGGAAAAATCTGTTTCACACAAATAACTCATGAATGATAAGTGGAATACAATTTGAAAAGTATCTCCCGCGAAATTTGAAAGTATAAACATGTCTACTTTCATAATCTTATAGTAAATAAAGGGATAATTGGAAATCAATGTATTTCTTTCTGTACATTCTGAATATAAAATTCATCGATGTCGAAAGTCGACTATTATAATTACAATAATAATAATAGTCATAAGGAAACAATTTTAATTGAATGAAACAAGTTTCATTGCGTTTAGAGCCTAAAATATATGTATACATAAAAAAAATTAGTGATTATCAGAAAAACTTGGAATAAACATTATTAAAAACTAGTGAAAAAGTTTACAGGAAGAAAAATATTATTTAGCACATTACATTAGTGTCGATAATTTAATAAACACAAGCCGATCAACACACAGATAACTCTACAAAAAATTTAAGTTTTGTAAAGAAGAAAAAACACGGGAATGTTTAATTGAGATCAGGAAAGTCAAGTAAAACGTCTTTCTTAATTGTGAGTCAATTATAATTAAGGTAGAGGCTGGTATTAGCGTGCTTTAGCCCAAGGTGTTATATTACGTCAGCACAACGAGATGAAAGTAACAAGATAAATACTGATGAAGTCAAAATAAATAATAATGATATCATCAATAATAATAAGATTAAGTAGTGAAAACACGGCTCCATAAAGAAGGAAATAAAGGTACACATGGACGACGGAGGGAGAAAAGCAATATTGTGATCGAATCTGAGTTACATCAGTCAACACCTTCAACCACTGGTCGCACAGATCAGAACCAGGAAGTTTGCACCTACAAACATGTTTCAGTCAAATAGTTGGCGATCCCATGAGTTGAGAAAACGGCTTGCATTATCCTGTACTGTTTTTTTTTCCAAACCACTCCTACTCTAGTTAACACTGAACATTAGGCAAGTATTAGACACCAAGGTAAAACCATATAGCCAGTAGATGCATATTTAAAGTGAACCGAGAAAACTACACAGCTCACCAATAATATACTGAGTAGACACAGAGTCACATGGGCTATCATCAGACTCTAATTTTTATCATTGATCAAATATCTATTGTAATTAAAAGTCATAATTTCTTGGTTACATATTCTGCACTTAACTGAGTTCGAATTTCCAAGATAAACAGCCTCGTTTCAAAATTGATTGTCATAGTCAGGTGATGTCAGTATTTTAAGAAACAAGTATAATATTATGGCACCTTCGAATTATGAAACTTATATATTACTCTTATAATTACTTGACATAATCTTTTGGAGTTAACGTTTCATCGGGATTGATAAACCAATAGATACAATGAGGGAATGAGATAATCTATACGACAATTACGGGCAAACGAGTAAAACTAAAAGAATTAATTTTTTGCAGTTATAACAAAACAAAAGTAATATCGTCCTAAGATAAGGATAATTCTATATTTTTTTCTTTTGATTGTTTATAAACAGTGACTTCTAAGACAATCAATCTTTCCGAAGAGGGAAGACACGTACGTTATTTGTCCAAAAAACTAGAACTAAGATTATGAAACTATATTTTATAAATATTTTAGTAAATTAATTTTATAGTGATCATTTATAAAAATACGCTTGTCGAATCCTTTTTTTTGTTTAGAGCATCCATAAGATTCCTCCAAAAAGAGACTATTCAGATGTTTTTCGTTTCATAATTTTTAAAAACCTAAATGTTTTGTCAAACTTGTGTGTGCATATAATTTTCTTGGAGCTAATTCATTAGCGACTCACTCAAAACAGTGAATCGGCTATCGAAAAGCATAAAAAATCACATACATTTGGTGTTTTAATCAAATACGGAGGTCAAAAATCATTTGGAAATAGATTAGTTTTACAGTACTTACGATCTTGTCTGAAAGTCTAATTTTGTAATTCTTAAGTGTTTGTCCGAATTTTTATCAGTAATGTTAGAATATTAGTTCACATATTCACTGAACACAACACGTATCTATTTTATCATTATTTCTTTTAACTGCCATAATTTTTCAACGAAAAATTATTGTTACATATATAATGTAAATTCATTTTGTGAATATTGGTTTACAACAAAATTTACCCGTGGAGATCAAATATTTACTTCAATTTAGTAAGTGTCTAGAATCGCCATTTTATGTCTAAGAAAACGAGAATGATAGATTGCATTGAATTATATAACTCTAACTAATTTAAACAGAAAAATACTCGCCAACAAATAGTAATCGTTTTTTGAAATATAAAAGAGTTAACTAAAAGGAAATCGACATTACGATTAAATTGGCACCAGCATGCGAATCACTTTGATAAAAAAGGAAAAAGCAAACTGCAATTATGTACTACATAATGAAAACTTACTTTTCAAGCGAATTTTAAAAACAAACTTTGTTTATGTAAAAGTTCAATTTACTGAAAAACAGCTCGTGTATTGTTGGACTACTAAGTAAGCAACGCCTCGGTTAGGATGAATAGGGTACTAAGTGAGGATGGCAAATCGATTTATAAGGTGGTAAGTCTTCAGTGACTGAGGTGGTTGGGGCATGTGTTACATATTCCAGACCACCAACTATCGCAACGGGTGACATTCTCTGGTGTTGAAGTAGGTTTAAAGAAAGCTAGGGACGGTCAAGGTGAGACGTGGCATCAGTCCATGGATTCACTGACAAGTGAACTTAGCCAAGCCAATAGATGTAGACTATCTGGTTGGGATAGGTGTGATTATCGTAACCAATTGTTAGAGACTTTGAACGAAATGGCTCGAATTCGCTTAGAATGGCACAGGTACATCCATTCTTCGTCTTCCTCAAATTCTGAGCTTCCGAATTCCTTAAAATTTTTCTTATTTCAGCAATTTGTATTTTCTCGAATCGCATCTTTGATGTATAATCTAATCTACTGCCTAATTCTGTTACTAATAATACTATTCTAGGGTTATTTTTGACAATCCCATCTCACTATGCTGAAGTGGCATGGGAACTTGGACCGATGAACAGACATAACAATATCTATGTTGCATTTGACTGATTAACTGATGGAAACGTCCAGCTATTCTGATTGTAAAGGAAGTGACCATGAAAAACGCATTACTCAATGAGTATGTACACAAGTAATGATTACTTTGAGCTAAAAAAGACGATTATGTCCTGATTAGATTATACAGCAGGACCGTTTAGGAATACTGCAATAAGCAACGAATAAGGGGATAAGTGGGACTTAGTGTGTCGAATACCCCGTATAAATGAAAATTTCCGGTAGACTACTTTCATTGTAAAGAGATATCAGAAGTAACACACAAAAGTAAGAAACTTATCCCAGTTTATAAATGTTTACTGTTGAAAAAAGTTGATTAACTCAAATGTAAATTGTTGTCTCGAAACTTGTTATAGGAGGGGGGAGTTGAGGTAGTTGAACAACTTCAGCATTTCACTTACGAAAAACTTACTTTTGTCTTGCCAAATTACATCACCTCTGAGTTTATCTGTCCATTAAGGAGCAAATCGGTTTATTTCTATTACTGATTATGAGATATCAACACTTTAAAGTTAAAAAATATGTGTAATTACCTACATTTTGAATAGAAATATGTTTTTTGCATATACAATGGGATCATCAAAAATAAGTATTGTTAGGGCTAGGGTGTTAAAGTGATATAATGAAGTGACAAATCGATTGACAAGACTATGAGACATCTATCCCGATCTCATATCAACAAGACTTGAATAATCTAATTCATGATTATGCATACCAACTTCATTTTAATGTAATGAATCAACGCAATTAAACGCTTAATATTAACCTTACAAAAGAATTGGCATTTTAAAACCACGTAAGATTACATACAAGACTATAAAAAACCAATATGCAGAAACCATGCATTAAATGTTAAAATAGGGAAAATTGAAAAAAATACACAGAAATAATAATATTTAAGTGTGGAACAATTGAATCAAACATAAATTTTAAAATTTTCACTAGAGGCCTCTTAAAAATGCACTTTTCTTTATAAAAAATAAACAAACATTACAGAAGACGACAACTTCATTTGTGAAAATGCATGCAAACAAAATTTCGTTCTTTTTTCACAACAGACAACAGAACGATGTGCATTGATTGTCAGCTTACCCCTAAATATCACCAATAGGTCTATTTTATTCAAGATGAACAGTATTGCTCGAACCTACAATAATGAAGCAGTAAGTAAGGAAGTAGTGAACATGTGTTTTGAATAAATGTATTGGAATTACAGGGATGTTATAAATAACAAGTTTATAGTATACACCTATGATTAATAAGATTACATACATATGTACATTTACATGAAAACTAATCAAGTAAATAATGAAAACATTTTTTTTAACAAGTATTAGGTTGTTAACTTTCGAATAAAAACAAGAAAATCATTGAAAGTAGGGAAGACTGCACAGCTGTTTCACTCAAGTACAGAACTACTCAACAATGAATATAAAGAAAAAAAATGAAATTTTGAAGACAACAAATTGTTTTGAATTTTAAGGTCTCACTGTGAAAACCAAATCCCTGAGTTCAATATCAGGTGGAGTTGAAAATGTGCATTATTAAAGTTTCATACTAGGACGAAACAACTAGTTTTGGTTTTCAGAGGCTTCCTAACTTAACTTAGTACATGAATTAAAGCTAGAAAATGAACAATCACTATAACCCTCTTAACTAATAAAACAAAAATTAGTATGAAGGTCACAGTGAGAACAATAAGTGTATGAATATAAATACTGAAGTGAATTGATATGAGATTTTACTATAAGTAGATGGATATATGACATAATTTGTAATTATGAAGTAGGAAGACAACTAAGGACTAAAATAGCTAATTTATCCAAAATATAATAATAAACAGCTAACTTACTTTCATCTTTGAATACACTAACACCCAGATCTCCTATTTTACCAGCAGTAATAGAAGGGGTAGGATAAATTGAAGTTGACATATTATTGGGACTCTGAGACTGAACAATTAACTCTGTAGACAGATCATTTTGAGGTTTTAGTGATGTTGCTACAAATGGCTCTGAACATTCAATTCTGGCTTCAAATAAACGTTGTTCTGCATGTAAACGTTGTGCTACAGTATTCTCGAGTACACGTTTGCTTTCTGCAACTCGAACACCAAGTTTACGGGCTTCGGATGTATATTCCTCTAAACACCCTTGACTTAAGTGACGTAGATCTAAATTTTATATTACACCGGTGAAAACAATGAAAGATGTCAGCAATTCTAGTTACATTATATATAGATACATTAGTTCAAGTTCACTTAAAATATGAAAAAATACTTTCAGTTACTACAATCGAGACAATTCATTTTTCGCAATTATATTTCAACAAGCTCATTAACCAGAAGGAGCATAAAACTTTGGGAAAAAAAACCTTCAGTGAAAAAGCAATAACTTATCACAACAAAAACCTGTTCAGTAATATTGAAGTCAACCAAGGTATCAGATTGGACACAAATGCTGTTCATATTCTATTGACACGACAATTAGGCTTAATGGAGGAGAATTATGTCATAAGTCAGGATTAAATTATTGTTTTAGTCATTTCAACAAATTTTCATATAAAGCAATATATTTTCGATACGGAGCAATAAATGAACAAGTAAAGTGTAGAACTTACTATCCAGTTTAGTACCGAACCCTGAAGGAGTCTGAAGGGATCGTCTATAATAAGGGTTCATAAAAAAAAGAGAAAAACAGTAGAATACTAATAATTATATCATACGTTGGATGTAGGTCTCGTTTACCATCGAATTTTACTTAAAACTACAATTGATACCAATGTACCTTCATATAAACAAAACAGTATAAAATAAATGTGTTCGTGACAGAACTCTGCTTGATCAAAAGAAATTAATAATACATAGAGGACTATTCAGAAGTATATTAGCCCGTTGATTAACAGATGAACCTCTTAAATATGCTACAAGCGACAGGATCGTGGCAGAAGTCAACGCAGCTTTCGAAATCTCTCCCGAAATTTTGTCACACAACAACATAGAAGAGCTGATGAAACTTTCAAAACGAGTGAAGTGGTCTGTCCAGTACCAATACGCTTATTTTCTACATGAAGATTATTAATAATAGTGCTAAGATGCCTATATCCATGGTAAAGACAGGTTTGAACCTGGGGTTCAACAGTTAAAAATATAATATAATATAATTAACTAGATAAATCCACCAAATTTCCATTGAATAATGAGTACCATGGGGAAAGAAAACAGAGATAAATAATTGCTTGTACTATTAATACATGAAATCAAATCGAAAAAAGTTACATACTGTAGAGATGATTACGCATCCAAATGTTAATGAATATTTAAAAAATTAAACTACTCGGTAAACTATAAAACAATAAATTTAACTCACAAAATTGAACTAGTAACACTTAATAAATGTCCTTCAGTTTCATTATGTTCTACATCTGATGCAACTGTTTGATCTTCACTGAAATCTGATTTAATTTTTAATGTGGATAAATTATCTGTTGTTGTACTCAATTCGTTGAGTAGGCCACCAGATGATATTCTAGAAATACTTGTTATTGAAGACGACCAATTACTAGTCGGGATTGAAGTGAAACGTGGTCTGGACATAATGATGTCAGAAGGTCGATCAGATTCTGGTCCAGGTATTTCAGCTGTTTCTAAATCCATGTCAGATGGTGGAGGTGGTAGGCTTGCAGCAGCAGTTAATAATTCAGCGACCAACGGTTGAACGTCACCTTGAAGCAGTAGAAAAAATAGGGGGTAATGATATTCATATTTATGATAGACAAGTAGTTTCCATGTTAGTACAATTACACTATACGCTTTAAACGTCAACGAGAACAAAATTAACTAATAATATGCTTAACTTTAAGTTCTTTCTGATAGGATTTATATAAACATTCTGATAATAATTCATTGTAAATAACCCGAAAGCACTCTCGAAACATAAAATCAAATGTACGGAGAAAGATATACAAAATTAAACTATGTTACATTAAATTAAAGTTGAATACCATCATAAAGTAAGAATATTTTTATGGAGTTATACTTTAACGGAGATAACACAATAATAGCACAAGTTAGACTTTTTCTTTCTTTCTTCCTTTCTCTCTCTCTCTCTCTCTCTCTCTCTCTCTATATATATATATATATATATATATATATATATATATATATATATCCAGTACATATAAATTGTAAACAAGTGATCCTGATCATATGAAGATCCTGGATCCTATTTCTCCTTAAATTGGACGTGAATAACCACTTCAAAAGTCCTAAACTGCGACGACCACATATGTCTAGTATATTTCATTCAAAATTATGTTTAACGAAAGCAAAAGAGATGGAAAAGGCGGTGGCTATAGGGAACACAAGACAGCTCTACAGACTAATAAAAGAAACTGGAATTAATAAGTCAAGTGTAAGTCAGACTATTTCGGAAAAAGACGACACCCTCATCTGCTCTCAGTCCAGACATTTAGAACGATGGGCGGAACATTTCAGAGAACAGTTCAACTGGCCTTCAGCTACTCTACAACTGCTCTCCATTCCCAGACAGTGTGAATGGAACATTGAAGTAGGTCCCTCAACTCTAGCAGAAGTTCAAAAGGCTATAGTTAATCTGAAACGAGGAAGGGCAGCTGGTCCAGATGGATTGGCTCCAGAGGTCTTTAAGGATGGTGGTCCAATTTTAGCGATTAGGTTGACTAATATTTTAGCTAAGATCTGGGAGTTAGACGTTATCCCAACTAACTGGTCACAATCACTTATCGTCCCAATATATAAGAGAGGGTCAAAATCATCCTGTGACAACCATAGAGGCATTAGTTTAACTAATATAGTATCTAAAATACTAGCCTCGATAATTATCGGACGCCTAACTAAGACTCGTGAACTGCAAACACGAGAGAATCAAGCTGGCTTCAGACCTGGTCGTGGCCGCATCGACCACATATTCACCATTCGTCAGGTTCTGGAACATAGGCATACTTATCGGCGTCCGACAATGGTGGTCTTTCTTGACTTGAAAGCAGCATTTGACTCGGTAGACCGCGAGATTCTGTGGCAGTGTCTATCATTGAAAGACGTACCTCAGAAGTACATAAACCTTGTGAAGGCTATTTACTCGAACACTACTAGTCGAGTCAGAGCTTATGGCGAACTGTCATCTGCTTTTGCAACCTCAAGTGATGTCCGTCAAGGCTGTCCACTTTCTCCATTCTGTTTTAATTTACGTCAGCGAAACATGGTCATTAAGAGTAGTAGATACTCGTAAGCTATTAGTATTTGACCACAGATGCCTCAGAAATATTGCTGGCGTCTGCTGGGGTCATCGGGTAGGTAATAGTGCGGTTAGACGCAGCGTATTAGGGAACGATGCTAAATCAGTCGATGTGGTTGTGAATGTTCATCGACTGAGATGGTTGGGTGTTGCGTATACCTGACCACCGATTACCACGACGCGCAATGCTAACCGGCGTTCGGGATGGTTGGAAGAAAGTTAGGGGTGGCCAAATCAAAACGTGGCATCAGTGCTTGAAGTCACTAACTTCTAGTCTGAGCCATGTTGGTAGATACTACTAAACTACTTGGTTGGGGTCCGCGTGACTATCGTAACCAGTGATTGGAGACTCTTGGTGACATGGCTCAGAATCGATCACAATGGCGTCGGTGTATACACTCCCTGTCTTCCCTTAAACTAAGAGATTAAAATCGCTTCATATCTTTCTTTCTATAAACTAATTCATTCTTCCTGTACTATATACTTATACACAATCTTTTATATATTACTACCACTGAAGTAGCTCTTATATGAATGCGGTGTTCATCTTGTTGTGCAAATGAGGTATGGCAACTTGGACCGATGCATACATGTGCCTGGTCCTACGTTGTAGCTGACTGACTGACTGACTCAACAAATGAGGATATACTTTGGTATGAATAACAATACAGACTGCAGACAAATTATTTCTATATATGTATATATGCCCACCAAATACAGTAAAGGGTGTGGAGAGTCCGCTCTCCTCGAAACGCTCTCACATGACCACGCGTATACAACCACTACTAAGGAAGTCCTAATCACTGCCCTCTCGAGGTAAGGGTGTTGCTTACGAAATTAAAAGAACGAAAGGCCAAAATCCGAAGCTTTAATCGAGTTGGTAGGTACGGAGGATCCACCTAGTCGAGTTAGAAAACCTTATTTTCAAGCAAACGGTGGACATGGGTTCCAGGATTATTAAGCAACAAATAGAGTATGAACCTTGTCTTGGCCATCGGTTAACGCATCTCCTTACGTTGGCTCAATTGCCTTGTGGATTAAACCACTAAGCCAAAGGCTCGGAGAATGGTCCCCTAAAAAAACCACCTGCCTCGGTTTGGGCACCCGAGCGATATTCCAGCCGCCATACAAATCAAATGATAAAGTGCGGCGCGTATATATTTGGTGCCGCCGCGTACCAACGTTTATGTGTTTGAATATGTAAATAAATAAATTTTAGGTATAATACACATTGAAGTTCTTGCATAAAGTATGTTGGAAATGTAGAACATTATTTATGTAGTGTATAAAAAAGTATAAATCTGGCATTGTTAGTTATTCCATCATCTATTTGAACCATAGAAATAGGGAAAAAACGTGTTCTAATGAAAGGAATAATATTTTATAGATTGCTTTAGTTTTTTCTCACTTGAGTTATATGTATATATTTTTTTCTACATATTCTTTCTATGACCTTTACAGTGTATTCTTTAAACAAAACGGACAAGGTATTTTGTCTGGCCAGAAAAAACATCCAGTTTTAATTAGGTCAAATGCTGAGCAAAATACTTGGCAGCTATAAAATTCAATCAGTTAGTCAGTCATAAAAGCAACGAAGCACCTGGGACAAATGCATATCGCTTAAAGATGTCACGCCATACTGGTAAGACGAGATGAAATTATCAAGAATTCCAAAGTAGTAGAGGTAGTAACAGTATCATCAGTGGTGGTGCACATAGACAATTGATTCGAAAAAGGATGAATTCGTGAGATAGAAAAGTATAAGCATTTTAAAATAAAGACTGAATGCGTTTGCGCCACTGCAACTGGTTCCGAACCATGTTATCTAACGTCTCTTCCAACCATTGGTTACAGCGAACACGCATACCCCAGCCAGGTAGGTTTATTCTGTGCTTACTATCACAATTGTCCGACAATCACTGACTTCATGAACTTATTTCAAATCTTGGTTTGACCGCCTATAACTTTCTTCTAATCTACTCGTACGTTTGCAAAAATAAGGTATTTACAGTTTTTCATAATTGTGTTTTTGTTACCTTCTAATCGTCCCGGTTGCTGAATTGAATCCTCAGAATCTATTGTTGAACTATCACATATTGTAGAATTATTCTTACTATTAACATCAATTTCAGGTGTTAAATCTTCTGTTGAATCTGGTGGGACAGAGCAACCACTTTCTAGCCCTAAATCTGGTGAAAATATCCACGCATGATATTTGATCACAGTTTCAACAAGCTACAAGCAAAACAGAAAAGAAATTAAACATAAAAATAGTTAAGAAGGAACGAATTGAGCGAAGAAATTTCTTTTCAATTAGTTTTTCATCATGGCTCTACACTAATATATATACGTTTTACAATAATAATATAATACTCATCGAGTGGATACGTTACGTAATAATTACATAATGACCTTTAAATTAACATTCAGTAATTGGAAGAGAGAGGATTATTAATATTCAAAGTAATCAAGAAGTTGCTATGTTGCGTAATATAAGAACCAAAGAAGGAATAGAAATTTTACCGGATGGTCAATAGGATAGTAGTTACGTAAGAATCAAGAGATGAATGTTGAGAAGCGATAGAAACAAAATTACAAAAATTTTAAAATAAAAATAAAAATGGAAGAAGTATGAAAAATAGTTCTTCTGACGGAAATGTTATACTGAAGGCCAGGGTAGAGAAAGTGGTTGTACGAATTTCTTTTGGATGCAAAGGTCTGGTTTGTGAACATGGATTGCGATGGCTTCCGCAATGTGCAAAAGGCGCACTCGTAAACCATGTGGTAGATTTGATGGAATATTGTAGATAACCTTAAAAGCTTTATTCACTTCGACTTGATGACCTGTGTCAACCAAGTGAGAGAGAATAGAACTTTTAATCACTTTCACTTGTCCTTTGCTTAGCCATGTTGGATGATGTTCTGTAATTCGGTGACGGACCTGTCGAATTGTACGCCCAATATAACTGGCTCCACAGGAGCAGTTGAAACGATAGATACACATAGATTTGGCGAATTCTGGCAGTCTGTCTTTAATGGATGTTCTTATTTTTGGGTGGTTGTAGAAGATGACATTTAATTTGGCAGCATTGAATGTTTTTTGTACCGCTCTTCTTAGTTTCTGAGTCATGACTTCCTCAATGGTGTCATTTATGAATTGTAGTTTCATGAATAATACCTTCTTGGGGACAGTGGGTATTAATAATCCTCTCTCTTCCAATTACTGAATGTTAATTTAAAGGTCATTATGTAATTATTACGTAACGTATCCACTCGATGAGTATTATATTATTATTGTAAAACGTATATATATTAGTGTAGAGCCATGATGAAAAACTAATTGAAAAGAAATTTCTTCGCTCAATTCGTTCCTTCTTAATTTACCAAATGGCAAAATGGGAATTTTCACTATAAAAATAGTTAATAAAGAGATCAGTTTGATTATGGAATTACAACAAAATAATGAACATGTTTTGTAATGATGTTGATAATAGTAATAAAAGTAATAACATGAGGGTATATTCATTCAGCATTACTTTAATAAACTAATGAAATTCATTAACAGGTGTGCAAATGTAAAAGTTTCCGTTAGGATATCATTAATTCTCTTTCTCACCCTCTCTCTTGTTCCTTTCCTCGTTCTATCTATCTGCAATTATTCAGTAATTCATTCTATCCCACTTTAAATGAGTAAGGTTTAAGTAATCCATGAAATGATTAACGATAGAAAAGTCAATTAAATTATAAATGATATACACGACAGTTAACTTTCGTGTGATGTGTGTGTGTACTTCAAAAAAAAACTGAAGAAACCATATAAATCTTAGGTTAAATATAAACGACATTTTTGTCATAACTTGAATATTTACGACGTTCTTCAAAATAATTATCAATTAATCACTTATGTAACAATATATAATCTTCATCCTATTTTTTTTATGGATTGCTTTATAAACAAAATTGCATAGCTTGAGTAAATGACATCATCGAAGAGAAAAGTTTCTCTGCTAAATTTTCTTGAGAGGAGAAATATCAATCACTAGCCTAATTGCATAATTAGCTCAATTACAGAAAAGAAAAGACTGAAGTGGTGAAGCTGCCCCTTTCTATTCAATAATACATTAATTCACAAATCTATGATGATCGCGTTTATTTTTTACAAAGTACAAAAACAAAAAAATATGATAATTTGTTCTATCTTTAAAAAGCGAACAGAATACGGTAACTGCTTTGTAAAATCAAACTGCATCACGAAGAAAGCGCTAGCTTGGAATTCTGAAGGTAAATGGAAAAGAGGAAGACCAAGGAACACACTGCGTCGAGAATTCGAAGCAGACATACAAACGATGAATAGCAACTGGAAACAAGTGGAAAGGATTGGCCAGGAGAGAGTTCGATGAAAAACGCTGGTGGGCAGCCTACGTTCCTCCATGAGGGGTAACAGGTGTAAGTTTGTGATTTATGAAATGTGTAAAATTCAAATAACCATTTACTTCATATTATTTCTAACAACTATTTAACTGACTATAAATTATCACGATAACAATCTTTAAAGTGTTTTGTTTTTCCTTTTAAACAAAACTACGTATTGTTTACTAGTCGTGATAAACTAAACACTTAATTGTCAGATAATCTGAAAACTTATTCATGTACTAAAATATTACTGTTTTTTCTTAGTTTCGACAGTTCATTCAACAATAGAAAAAATCATATTGAAATACGACATTTCACTGATGTCATGATTGTAATTTTTCCATGCTAATAACATATATATGACAATTTGACTTTTTAAGCTATGTATCTCTATCTATTCAAGAGACCACATTCACTCTCAGTTTAACACACTATACACAAGCATAGATATACATATAATGAATAAAATAGTCAAACTTAAACAAATGGTTAATACAAGAATATTCTCACTGACATTGTTAAATTATTATAAAATAATTTCTTACATTAAACGTATACGTAGAAACAAATGCGTGCTGAATATACTGCTTACCATAATTTTATATTTAGAATCACTCATTAGTAATTCAGGCGAATCTTCACATGGTTGTACAAGATTTGGTGCAAATACTAACGCTAAATTATATGCTGTCATTTTATTCACTCCTTCACGAGCACTAACACGAGCTAAATGAGTAACAAGATAACGAAGTGTAGCTCTATGTGCTCTATACTCTGGATGACATGGATAACATTCCATAATACTTAATAAACGTTGAATAGATAGAAGACGTTTTTCACGTTGTGGTAAGCGACACGCAGCCAGAAAATCTGGATACATAACTATATGTACGCCAACAAGGAGGAAAAAATTAAAAGTGAGAAAAACGTCAGTGATACTGTCAACTAATAAAGTATATGAATGTTATTATTTGAGTTAAGACATAAATGGCCAGAGTACTAGTGAAGTGAAACAACTTTTAAAATAACAGTTTAAATGAGAAAATTCGTTAAGGAAATCTAAAAATAATGAATACACAACACATACACGTAATGATTAATTAGTTAGTAACAATCAATAACAAGATGTAGTGGCAATAATAGATCATCATTACGTCAATTTAAAACCATGATGAGATAAACATTGAGATGATTTCGTGATCGATTCTTAGTTATTGAGTAGGGAAAGCATAATGGTAGGATTACATTATTTTCTGTTTGCCAAAATATACTACTATTATTACTAACCCACCGGAACTTAAACTATATTACCTTTAGATAGGATACTGGATCGATACACTTTGCACAGACTGGATTACGTTAAATCAAATACATGATTCACGATCAAACATAGCGAACCATAGTATAGGCTAAATAACACTTAACACAATTACAATTACTTTACACTCAGTGAGTTAAGAAAACAAATCAATAATAGGAAAGAAAATCACGTATTAAATAGTCAGTACGCTGTCTGTCCGCCCATTCATCAATGCTCAGTAACCAATCATATTTTACTCTAACTAACCATATATCACGGGAATAAATTAGTTCTAAGTTTGTTTGTTTTTTTCCTAAAAAAAAATACTACGCAAATATTGTATAACCTCAATGAAAATTTCAGAATAAATACATTGTCTACTGAATGTCACTTAGAAAATACCAACGCAAGTAACTGATAAGGACCTAACAAAATAAAACGAATTCATATTATTCTAGTTAATTCTTTGATTTTGCTCTTTTCAAGATAATAAAAAGAACTAAGAGTAAGAAATTACCTAACAATTTATATAAATATTGATAAACATTTACGCAAAATTTGACAAGTTGAACGGATAACAAAAAAAGAATGCTTATATTCTTGACAAATTCAAAAGAAGTCCTCATCGATGTTATAATAGAAATTTTATGGGTTAAAATTAATCAGTCAAAATCAACCAAGAGAAAGGAATATTGTTCAACCGTTATTATTTTAAAGTGACCTATGTAACCTAGATTATATATGACAGAGAAATATATTGTCGTAATTTAAAACACTTACATAAAACAAGCAAAGTGACATTGAATATGTAATTGATTAAAAATATAACATAAAAGAAGGTAAAAAAAAGAAATATATCTGCACTTATGTATATATGTTATGTAAAGAATGTTAAATAAGTCACCTTTAGGAAAAAGGGAATCTGGAAGATTGCGTAGAAATGTTTTCAAAACTCCACAAACAGCATGTAAATCATTCCATTTATCTGATGTTACATCGATTGTAGTAATATCCTAGAAAAATAAGGAAAACGTTTCTGTAAACTTTTTTATATCATCATTATAATGCAAACAAAACCTTGATTTACATAATATTTCTTATAATATATCAGCCTGTTAATCTAGTGGAATTCAGAAGAACATATGTAATCATATGAAATAACTCTAACCCAATCTAATTCACACTGTAACGTCAATAACGCTTTGACTCAGCACTCTACAATTAAGTAAACAATAAAAAACAGAAGTATTCCTAAAACTATAATTGACGATGATACATCAAAAAAAGAGTAGATATTTATGCAAAACTTAAAAGCATATTTTTTAACAGTCAGCTAATGAGAATATCACTTCTAAGGCTCCAAATTTAACGTTTGAAGTTTACAAATACAAAATAGTGACTTAAAATAATTGTATCATTTTCTGGTAAATTCAAGGAACATTCCGTTCCCCAACAGATATTTTCATAAATTATTAGTTCTAATTTAAACAAATTTTGTTTTACATATCATTTATTTATAAGTTTCATGGCTGAAAACATAAGTAAACATTTAAAAACATTCATTGATAGTAGGTCGAAATATGTGTAAACTGTTTAATAAATAAATAAATAATTGGGAATTAAATTCAATTAAATGAAATTTATTCACCAATCGTAGCACAACACATATGAATATTATGAACTGTTAAGTAACTTCTGATCTCTTCAAAAAACAAACACGACGTTTACGGACTTTTTATTGAAATTCACCATGTTAAATCTATGGGAGCCCTCTATAAAAGATAAATTATACGAATATAGGGGAGTAATGCAAGAACTCTTTCGAAACTAACTGGCCAATAAGTGAGTGATAATTTAATGTAACCATATCACAATATAACATCAGATAATGATGAGATTTTCATGAAAATGTTATTTTAATTTTTAAGGCTGAGAAATAAGATCAAATAAACACCTTCCTTCGTTGTATGATTGATTACAACTATAGAAATATTCTTTCGACAGCTCCCACTTCACAATTTTAACAGACAATTCGGAAAATATAACATCAAATATTCTAAAACATTTTACAATAATGTAACAAAATAACAATATTATAATGAGTAACAAACGCTATTAAGATCTTAATTATTAATGGAAGTTTACTGACGATTGTTCAACTTACAACATATATCACAGAGTTACTTTAGCTAAACAACCATAGAAAACTAGGAAATATTTGCAGAAATCGAGTTGCCAGAGATGGATAGTTTAATCGTAAAGCTTTTATTGTTATCCAAGACAACATCTGCACAAGCTTTTGACGATGTAAGCTATGGGAATTACTCTACAAGTGATTAGAAGCTTTTCCTGATAACCTTAAACTTGACTAACCGTTGTTGGCAGTTAACCTGTCATTTTTTGTATATTTTGATTGTTTCCACTACTTCCAAACCCCTAAAGATTGAGCAACTATTTCATCATAGTGTCGAAGCCATCAAAGCAATGGACATCTACAAGTACACTAGGGAAAAAGAACCAAGGACGTTGATGCCGTTGGCAACCAACAGTTCGCAGCTTTCCAGTGATTCCGTTTCGAGCAACCACTATCCATAGCTATCAGTGATATTTGTCTGACAGGGTGGTATAATTTAGACATATAAGCCCCCTGCGCCCACATGGCACCTCAAGACCAAACGGTAGGTGAGAGATTATAAACAAGGTGCACCATTAGAAGGAGCCGATTACACACTTTAGTCAATGTCCCAGCACTTATGACATTGTCTGGATCTGAGGCACAAATGTACAATATACCAATGATTTATGTACCCATCGACTCAGTTTGCCAATTAAAGGTTTCTAGTCATTCCATGGACTTCTCACTAGTATAGTGGGTTGGGTGAATTTATAGAGATTCTTTGTATCTGAATGTAATGATAGTAGAATGTAACATTGTCTCATGGCCGGCATAAGAGAGAAAACAGTGTTCACTACTTTAACCACAAAATAATAAACTTTACTAAAAAATATAACTATGTGATGAAAGTTATTCGAGAAGGAAAGAAATAAACACATGAAAACCCCATATATATTGATTTACAAAAATTACTCAACAAAAAAATAACTGTAGTGAAACGAAGCAGAAAATGAAAACTAAAAGTCAATTCTTCAAGAAAAGGTTATTGATATAATTTTGTTAAAAACAAAATGTGTAAGAGTTTAAACGTTTGGAACTACACCACACACTAGATCAACTTAGTTTCGACGTGGTTAAATTGAAAAGTTATAACATTTACGTTAAGTATGCTTAGCAACAATCCTAGATGACCTCATTCGTTTAAATTAAGAACGACACTAGGATACACCGCTCAAAAAGAAAACAACTCACTACATCAAATGATAGTGATCATGTTTCACTGGAAAGAAGTTAGTGATCAAGAATAAATTTCAAATTGAATTACTAATAAACGATATTCTTTTTATGCACGCGAATAAACAACCCAATAGTAGTGTATTCTCAGATCAGACAATTTAATAAGATCAATGACGATTGGTAAAACTTATGGTCTCTTTATAGTCTGACAATATCATAAAAGATTAAACAAAATCAATCGAAACTTTGAAATACGACTTACCCTACTTAATTCAGAGGTAATGAAGTCATGAGCCACCTTGCTACCAGATAAACGATAAATACCGATACAATTGAGACCATAGCGTTCGACTAGTGTAACGCATAGTTCTACCACAAAAGGAACAAACTAAGGTGAAAAGAAAGAAATAGTAGAGAAGAATCAAATCGAAAGACAGTGTGGACGAAGCTATAATAACAGTCTTAAAAAGAATCAAATTGCGAAGACAATGTTGAGAATGTAATTAAACATAACCTACAGGTAAATGACAATTTGAATGTACAAAAAACAGGATTAGGTGATGATAATCATTACCATTTTTATCGTATCTAGTCTCATTATTTCAAAGGACAAAAATAACTACGCAAGCACAGACTACAGATTTTTATTATAAAGTTTGACATACATACATAAATGCAAAAAAGAGCTAATGATACTAATCGAAATAGATGAAACAAGCTTCGAACCCTATATTCAATAGGTAAAACATTCATTGTTTCAATCACTGAGACACTAGTAAACAATATTAATTATATACGCATGAAGACTTGTGGTGGAAAACGAAATACTCAACTGGTCATTGGAAAGTATGATCTGTAATCAATGGCCGTAGAGTTCACATTTTTCAACTGTGAGTGAATCTGACAACATGTTACTCGATTCTTCTGGTGTGAGTTACTTAAAATCGTTTTAACTGATTGATAATGATTTTTTCAATCCTGTTATTAGTACAATTGCTGTCTATTCCCCTTACTGTTCTCTTCAATTCAATCTTCCGCTGGCAGACATTCTACATCCGATTGGGCCCCCGAATGCCCTGGTACGGCCGAGAGTGGGGTGAGTCCGCTCTCCCTCTCGAAATACTCTCACACGGCCGCGCGTAAACAGCCTCTGCCAGGGAAGTCTTACTCATTGCCTTCTCGTGGCGGGAGTGTTGTTTACGAAAATGAGAGGACGAAAAGCGAATGTCCGGCGCTTTAACCGGATTCCAAATCAATGGTGCACATGGGCTCCACTATCCTGCGGGAACAAATGGCGTATGAACCAATCTTTGGTCACCGGCTACCATGGGATTGTATCTCCTTACGATGCTCCACTGCCTTGTGGGTTAGACCTTTAGGTCAAAGGCTCGGGGAGTGGCCCCCTAAGATAACCACCTGCTTCGGTTTGGGCACCCGGGCAGTATCACAGTCCACACACAAACGATGAACTCTATGTCTATGGCAACTACTTTTCTCGCTTCGAAAAACAATCAATCGATTCAAATAATTATCATTACTATTATTGTCATTATTAATACTATTATTATTACTATTATTGTCATTATTATTATTATTTTCCACATTATTCACCCTCTTTCATACTTATACAGCGGCTCGTCTTTGGTGGAAATCCGACTGTATCTAAACGTTCTCGAGTCACTGTCCGGTCGAAAATTGTATGTTACCATCGAATATGAGTACTGAAGCAGTTTTTCTGAAACCACGTGCGCCATTCAAACTGGCTGCCTTCAACGTTCGCACACTTATGCAGGTTGGTCAACAGATAGGGCTGGCTATGTCTTTGGAAAGTCTTCATATCGATGTCTGCTGTCTATCCGAGACCCGTATTCAAGACTCTGGTGAAGTACTACAAATTCGCTCTCCATCTGTCACTTCAAAAAGCTTGTTTTGCGTGCGCTTATCCGGGGACCCTGTGGCATCTTCGTCTGGTTTTGCTGGCGTTGGTGTCGCACTAAGCGCTAGAGCTCAGACATCACTAATCGATTGGATCCCCATTAATAGTCGGTTATGTGCTGTTAGATTAGAAAGTTCCATCAAAGTGAGAAGAAATCGGCATGAGAAACGATGTCTTTTCGTCATCTCCGCCTATGCCCCGACAGATTGCAGCCCGGATGCAATCAAGGATGAGTTTTACCACCAATTATCTGTTCTTCTCCAAAAAGTGCGTTCGACAGATATTCTAGTACTAGCCGGAGACTTGAATGCTCAGGTCGGGCGTCTAGGCACAGAAGAGAGTCGTTTAGGTGGCCGATGGGGACTCGTTTGTCGCAGGTCAGATAACGGGGACCGTCTACTGCAACTGTGCACAGACCACAACCTGTTTCTGGCTAGCACTAACTTTCGGCACAGTCATCGCCGATGTGCCACCTGGCGTCCTCCCTCTGCATCTCAAGCCTGGACTCAGATTGATCACATCGCGACCAGCTACCGCTGGCGTGGTTGTGTAACAGACTGCCGCTCCTTTTGGAGTACCTATCTGGACTCTGACCATGCCTTGGTCTGCGCCAATCTTGCCTTACTTTTCAGTGGACAACGAAGTGACCACCACCAAAAGATTGATGTTAGCAAGCTGGTTGCAACTTCTGTTGCAAGTAAGTATCTAACCGAGCTAGCCTTTAGGCTAGCTACTACTCCACCGAAAAGTATAGATGAGCATTGGTTGCAATTGCATGACGCCATGAAAATGGCGGGAACAGTCAGTTGTGGGTTTGCGAAACGTCCCGCTGTTAAGCACTGGGTTTCTTCTGGTTCCTCACAACTCACTGAAGCCCGTCGGTCTACTCAGGGTGACCGTGAGTTTGACCATAAACGAAGGAAGTTACGTGAGGAAATTGGGCAAAGCTTGCGTAAGGACCGAGAAGCCTGGTGGTCGAAGCGTGCTAATGAGCTGGAAGCAGCAGCTGCATCTGGTAACTACCGGAAGCTCTTCCAGCTCATCCGAGCCACTGGCAGCAAGAAGTCTGGTGTGAGTGAAACAATCTGCGAGGATGATGGGATGCCAATCACCAACGTCCATCGACGTCTTGGACGGTGGGTAGAATTTTTCGAAGGGCAGTTCAACTGGCCTGCTGCTGCGGCAACATCGGTCAGACTGTCCTGCCCTCCGTGGCCGGTGACGACTGGTCCACCAAACGAGGAGGAAGTCCGCAAGGAACTCCAACTCTTGAAGGGTTACAAATCACCTGGCCCAGATGACTTACCTCCGGCTCTTTTTTAAAGATGGTGGTGACTTTTTGACTAAGGAATTGACGACGTTGTTTACAAAGGTTTGGGAACTAGAGAGTGTGCCAACGTCATGGAATGAGTCGATAGTTGTCCCTATCTTTAAAAAGGGTTCACGTCGTTCCTGCAACAACTATCGGGGGATAAGTCTACTTCCGATTGCGTCCAAGCTATTGGCTTCCGTCATACTTCGTAGGTTGTTCAAAACTCGAGAAAGATTGACTCGCGAGAAGCAGGCTGGGTTTCGTTCTGGTCGAGGAAGTATTGATCATATCTTCACCCTCCGCCAAATGTTAGAACATCGCCATTCTTATCAAAGGCCAACGATCGTAGTGTTTCTTGACATCAGGGCTGCCTTCGATTCGTTGTACAGGACTGTTCTATGGGATTGTCTATTGAAGAAGGGTGTGCCTGAGAAGTTTATTAACATCCTAAAAGCCCTATATACAAACACCTCAGGCAGAGTGAGGGCATACAACCACCTCTCTCCATTGTTCCATTCAAGCAGTGGGGTTAGACAGGGTTGCCCAATCTCACCATTCCTCTTCAACTTTGCCATCGATGACATTCTGGAAACAGCTCTGATGAATGTAAGTAATGGTGGTGTGGATCTGCTACCTGGAGAAAGACTTCTCCACCTTGAGTATGCGGACGATATTGTCTTACTGTGCGATAATGCCCAACCCATGCAATCCGCACTTAATCAGTTGGCAATCAGTGTCCGTAGGTATGGTATGTGCTTTGCACCTTCGAAGTGCAAAGTACTTCTACAAGACTGGCAGGATTCCAATCCTGTACTCACCCTGGATGGTGAGCAGATAGACGTAGTCGAGAAGTTCGTGTATCTGGGTAGCTGCATAAGTGCTGGTGGGGGTGTGAGTGATGAGATCAATGCACGAATAGTGAAAGCCAGAGCGGTTTATGTCTATCTGGGCCATCTTTGGCGCCTTCGTGATGTTAGTCTGGCTGTAAGAGGTCGGATCTACAACGCGTCGGTGAGAGCAGTTTTGCTCTATGCTTGTGAAACCTGGCCTCTCCGAGTTGAGGACGTTAGACGACTCTCTGTGTTCGATCATCGCTGTCTCCGAAGGATTGCTGACATCCAGTGGCAACATCATGTCAGTAATGCAGAGGTTCGGCATCGTGTGTTCGGGCACAGAGATGATAATTCAATTGGTGTCACCATCTTGAAACACCGACTTCGGTGGCTTGGACATGTTCTACAAGTGTCGTCCCAGAGAATTTCACGTCGTGCATTATTTGCCGACTCTGGGACTGGTTGGAAGAAGCGGAGAGGTGGTCAGTGCATGACATGGTGTCGTGGCATGAAAGAAAGCTGCAAAGGACTGGCTTGTGTTGGTCCTTCACGACTCCCTGGTTGGGGTCCGAGAGATGGTGCTACACAGTGGCTAGAGACGTTATCAGATATGGCTCAGAATAGAAGCCAGTGGTGATCCTGATGTAACCTTCTTTTACTTTCTTCATAAAAAGTGGTTGTGTCTCCCTTACCTGAAAGATTTCTTCCAATTGTACCTTTGCGTTCCCTGTTTACTAGCACATTACCTTACACCAATCTCTTCGTTATTGTTCTCTCTTTTTTTTGTGCTCCTTAGCTTCTTTTTTTTCTTTCTTTGTATTCCTCTTCGAATATTCACTGTTCTGTGTGGCGCATATATATTGGCGCTCTCTTGTACCAATATTCATGTGTCCAAATAAATAAATAAATACTACTTATATCTGTCGGCATATAAGCAGCATATACCACACTACTACTACTAGCAATTACGTATATCAATAACAGTAATTTATTTCAAGGAATTGAAAAAATAATTTTTTCCGAAAGTTTTTCTTTTGAAACATTTCACCAAAACAAGGAGAAAACATTTAATAGTACAAAATAGGTTATAAAGAAAACTTACGGGAGATAATGTACTTCTAGGACATTTATGTAGTGGTAAAGGGTTACTTAATTGAACAGGCAATGGTACGAAAGGATGTTTGGTTTGAACAAACAATGTGCATTCACTTCGATTACTAGTACTTTGAATTGCATTACCATCTGAGTTTATGTCTTGATCTACAGTTTCCGACACTAAAACAGTAAGCTGACTGGTTGCTTTATGTTCTCTTCTAGATTGTTGATTGACTGATATATCGATATAACGACCTGTTTCTTTGTTTGAATATTCATGAGGACCTTCTGACAAATCTAAACGATAAAAAAAGATTAGCATACAAAAAAAAACTATGAAGAATAAGAATATCTACAGTAAATACTAAGTTTTTATGAAGGTATTCTTTCTAGATTTTAACATGTATACTTTATTATTCCAACTCCGTCTGTAGCTCTTACGGTGCTTGGAATCAGTGAAACACATGGGACCCAAACTGGACAAAAAAAGATAAATTCAAGAGAGACGCTGCTGTACTCTAGTCATGAACAACAAAATGCTCCACACACTCGAAGCACGAAATGCACTTATAGGATAGGGATCCCATGAATACAGGATCATCAAAGCATCCTTTGTATGCATTGAATTAATTCGTATATTTCGGATTTTTAATCATTTGGAATTGGAACTTTTTATGAGCATGCTCTCTTAACCAACTCAGTAGAATAAAACTAGAATTTCATGCAACTAGGTCCTTTGTTGAATTTAAACAGAGCAAAAACAAGGTTCGCAGGATAATCTTTATTTCTTACGTCGTCTCACAAACGTTAACAGATTTCTTTGGTTTCACTTCTTATCATGTTGAGTGATTACACAATTGATTATCAACTTCATTACTCTTACATAACCTGTTTTATCTTGATTATGTTTATTAGTATCTAGAACATCTATTCTACTCTACATTACACTATTTTCCAACATACGAACACACATCGATCGCAATTATGTTTATCCATACATTTTGTATTCTACACTCCGTATTATATTGATCTCAGTTACAATTTGAACATTTATCTGAACTTCACAAACTAAACTGTGTTAAACATCTGTTTATATTAATATTATTAATTATAATTTTGAACTGTGTGAAACTGATAACAAGCTACGAAATAGGATGAACTCATTTTATTTTCTGTAGACTTTGTCGTTATTTTTCTGTTTAGAACTAAAATGTTAAACTAACAAAGTAAAATAGTCAGCATTAAATTCGCTCATGAAAGAATATATATCAATGTTATATACGGATAAAGAATAAGTGAATAGTAACTGCTAGGAATTATTTATGGACTATTATTACATATATTCCTATTGGATTACTATTAAGTAACTAGGTTATATGTATATTCATATCCCTTTTATTATAAGCTTCCATTTGACCTACTGATTACTATTATACGATTCGCTATTCTTAAGTTACTTACAATTTATTAATTACAGCATCTCACACTCACAGTCACTTTCGGCCTGATCTTGTATAATTGTTATATTGTATTTTATGGTATGATGTAGTCTGATTTGCTTGTATATCAACTGGGTATGTCTGAAATGCATGATTTATATAGAGAAGGCTGATATTAGTGTTCTGGACTGAACCGGCTGGGTTAGGCGAGAAGCTACTATCTCAAAGGACTAAGAGTTGACTCTGAGTTGCTCGCAATGGTTAATGCATCTTTGGTCTGGCCATATAAGTCGGTGTTTCTAATAGGCGATTTAGTCACTTGATAAATTAACAGGCCGTAAGGTCATAACAATCAGTAGCGGTTTATTTATTTATTCCATGTTATGTTGAAACAAAACTAAACAGTATTCAAAGCACCAAACTAAAAAAATGTTATACTATAAACAATAAAATAATGATTTTGATATATAAACCATTTAACATCTGTGAATTTACTGCAAGTCTTTGGAATAGTTTAAACATCATATTATCTAATCAACAATTCCTTACATAAAACATCTACTTACTAGATGAATCAATATTAGAGTTAACTGATTCATTAGATTCTAACTGGAAGTACGTTAAACATGGAGTTTGCAACGAAGGTGATGGTGAGACCGATGTAGCCAATAATAATGCACATTGACTATTATTATGATTATTATGTAAATGAGATGGTGAATTGAAAATGTTTCCTAATTTATTTGAGCAATTCATATCTTCAGTGGATGCTTTAAGAGGAGAACTTATATGAATAGACTTGTTTTTCCCAAAACCATGAGATGAAGCAAACCTTCTCGTAGTTACGCTGGAACTTGAACGGGTAGTAGGATCACAAGATGCTGTTGCTGCACGTTTCATTTTCGTAAGCGCTTGATGCAAACGTCCACGACCTCGAGGAAAAGAAGGAAGAAATCTAAGCTCTTTAGCTTTACTAGGCTGTGCAGTAAAATCTGATGGATTAGATGATTGGACGCTTGAAGTCTGATCACCTATAAAAAGTATCAGTAAAATATTAGAATATCAGATAATTATGATTGAGCAATTTCCTGTTGTACAATGATGACAATGAGAAGCAATTTATCACAACATATGGTAAAATAATTACATACACATCATAAGATTAAAAGTAAATACTACCAGAATATAAAAATATATTAGGTCCTGGGTTCGATTCATATGGACAGAGTCGTGGATGTCCACTGTTGAGGGGTCGCATATCAGGACGAAGAGCCCGTCCAGCGCTACGAGGTTTTCAGTGGTGGTCTAATATTGATCGGTTCATGATTTCAATAAAAATCAACAATCTGCACAACCACATACTGATTATATGTTCATTATTTTAAGCCCTAAACTATTTATTCATATATTGTGAAACAAATTTCATCATACAAGAAAAATCAACCAAACGAATGATGAGCCAGTTCGGGACATTTTATACTCCATTTCAGATTAGAAAGTTCAGTGATTTGCTAACGCGGGTAGAAATATGGCACACTGATGCAACGGCCCTAAAGATCTTAAAAAGACGAAAAAGACAAACAATTTTGTACAATTAGTAAGAATAAGACAATCTACTGCGTAGACATGTTACACAAAACTTAAAACTTGCTATTAATTGTCTTCGATAACAATTATTGAAGTTCTAGTAAGAAGTCGTTACAGATGAAGTTTAACAATATTGCGAATGAGACAGATATAATCAATGGTACTGAATGATAGTTGAGCAATGAAGTTAATAAACTGTTGTTGTAAACGTGAATCATTGGATAGCAATTCAGTTTCTAGATGATTTCACTCATTGTGCGGTCCGAGAGTCGTAGGCTTGACGCTTAGTAAGATCGTGAAAGTGCACAAGTGAGAAGTCCCAAATTAGGACGAAACAGTTGTCATACACCCCTATACTTCTGAATAGTTTTTGCAATTTATACTACTTCATGAAAAAAGTAACTTCCAAATAAACAACCTCAAAAAAAGCCCCACTCTGCTTGATAAATTCACAATTTAAATAGCTGACGGCAGGAAGCAAACTTTCAACAGAACAGTTATGCAGTAAAATGTTCATTTCATTCGAGAAATTCAGAGATTACAACAGAACACACTCAGTTTTATGATCTTTCGGACAGCCGAACGTGTATTATTATCGGTTTGTCTGAACCATAAAAAGTTGTAACAGACAAAAACTTACTCTTTGATTTGTTAATATCACCATTTTCAGATAAAGCAGACTCTTGTGGAGAAGAGACAGAGACTGTAGCTTGTTTATGAGATTGCAATAATCCTTGAAAATTCACATACTCGCTAAGCTGCATACCAACTGATGCTGCAGCAGTCCCAACAGCTTTAAATAATGGCGCTACACCAGAAGGTCCAGCAAGACCAATACTAGATCGTCCAGAGGAAAACTTAGAACGTAATCTATGTGATGGCAAGCTAGGTTGAGATGAATTGGCTGTAGAGTGTTTCTGTGAGATGCAAATAATAAAACAACATTGAATATTAGAACTGTTGTAATGACCAGGCTCTAACTAAATAATTCGAATCTTAACGCAATAGAAAAGCAAGGGTGAACGTAAACCAACACTCCTCAGCTGAACTTTTATTATGTCCAGCCCCCCCCCCAATAACTTTCGGTTCACCTTTTAAACTAATAAAAAGATAGTTAAAAGCTCGTTACGTTCTCCAGGCAACAATGAGACAGAGAAAAATGCTGGTGTTATTATACCACATTTGAAGAGATTACGAGTTCACCTAAAATCGGCGGACGGAACGAAAGGTCAGCAACACAACAAAAAAAAACTAAACTATTCCAATGCGCCCGGGTCCTGCTAACTAGGAGCAGAAGACCAGGTTCAGCAGAGGAAAAGGTATATTCCCCAAGCAGCCAGAGGTACGGACAAACAGGCATACAACTCAAGAGTATATATACAGTAAAAAAATTTCCTTGGGAAAACGTCACAAAATAGCGTATTAAACGAAGGAATGAACCAATGACATTTAAGGTACTGCCAAGGAAGAAATACAATCTGAAGGTAAAAATAGGCATCCTTGGAGTGAAAGTGTGAAATTCAAATATCCAAAATAAAATTACCAAACAATTTCTGGGGATCTAGTATCTCCAACAACTTATAAATTGATTTTATTTATCTTTGACTTTGCCATTCATGATGCAAGTACCGTGGTGCCTGACTCAATGGTACATACAAGGTTTAAAAATCCAAAATGGGGACCATTAAAAACATTTCGTTTATTGGTTGATTAGAGGAGCTGGGTAGCTATTTGTCCCAAATCCAAGATATGATGAAAATTATCTTCACATTGAATTAAACCGCATTAACGATCCAACTAAAGTGAATAATGAATATAGAAACTACCGATGGGCCTCAGATAGGACGAAACGCCTGTCCAATAGCTTACCACATAGTAAATATACTTAAGCTAATGACAGAGCTGCGATCGGTTGATGCATGTACATCAACTAACAGAAAGTGATAAACCGCAGTCCTAAATATTAACAGTAGGGAATTACACTCCTACAAATAAAATCAATAAAAGTTATGGAACAAAACGAAAGAGGGGAAAATTGCGTGGATGGATTTGTGGTACCATAAATTATTTTAAGTAATGTTGGAGTGGCCTGGTGAGACGGCGTTGGGTGTAGCAGTCGCAGTCGACGGGAAGAAGACATGGGAATTCCTGGGTGCTGGGCGGACACTGGATTAAGGTGGCCCGACAGGTCGAAATAGCTATGGAGGTCAGAGCGCTGATGGACTCCACATTTCGACGGGAAGCGTGGTACAGGCTGCGACAAAAAAGAAAGCGGCATGGAGAGCAGAATGACCTCAAGAGTGACTTTCTTTTCAAGAGTAGACAAGTGTGACATCAACTACTTATACGGACAGACAAGCAGTATGTAGTAGGAATTGGAAGTCGAATACTTACTAGCATAAGACTGAAATAAAGAGAAGAGGATGGAAAACGAAGAGCAATCGGAATAACAACAGGATCAGAGGAATGATGAAGTATGTAAAGAACAAATGAAACAAGATATGCAAATGATGCATTGAATGTACGATTTTCATACTTTACAAAGGCACTGTGTACGTTCGCATAAAACAATAAATTGGTTTGCCGTACCCGAGTTTTCGTTCACTGCAGTGTCATCGTCTAAGGTATTTAACTTTGTTTCTAACAAACTGAGTCACTGCCAACCATTAAATTGTACATTTAACTAAAGGTTATGAACCAACAGTTAATAAGTATATGAATGAAATAATTTGATTTCGTGACAGCGACTGTAGGAATAAAGAAACATTAAAAAAGATAGTATAACACCTATAAGAAACTGAATTTCATAAAAATAAACAAAAAGAAAAGCTTTGAAAACAACTGTCAGTGTCCTGAAGGTCAATGCTTTGCAATTGTTGACAAAGAACAAACTACGGCGAAAAATGTAACAACAACGTGATAAACATTAGAAATAGTTACCTCTTTAGACTCTTCACTGATTTTCCCTGGTCCATAATGATCAAAGATATTAGACGCTATCTGACGATCCGAAAAGCTAAGGTAACATGTTAAGTTTAATTTTGAACTGTGTAACACACCAATAACTCCAGCTCCTGAATCCCAATTCGATGGTAAAGATGTACATGTTTTCCCGGGCAACTCAGAAGCTGAATACCAAATTAAACTTTCTCCAGACAATGGAATATGAATATGCATGGAATTTTCGTTAAGATCAGTGTGATGGTTAGAAATCTGAATGAGAAAAAATTCATTGTCGAAAAATACTGAAGTCTATAAACAAACTCATGATCAAAGGTATCAAATACAAAACAGTCTCCATAAATAACTCCAATATTGGTTAGTACAGTCCCCGAAGAAATGATTATCGTAAGGCATTGGGAAAAAGGGATAGACGAATCCAGAAGCCTTACCAAATATTAAATCTGAATATTCAGTCAATACTACTGAAATATTTTCTTAACATAGAAGAAAGACAAACAGATATATATGTATATATCACAAAGTTATCCACGAGGGTTCTGAATTACAATAATTACGCTTTCTCCAACAACTGATTATCTATAAAATTTGCTAATTATCACATTATCCATACTTTTGGCACGAATATACCAACACAATTATAGGTCATGTAATGATAATAATTAATATTGATCGACAGAGGAACACAGGATATATACTCCATCACGAACAGAAAGGAAAGTAAACTGTTATAACTCGTATTAAGTTATACGATAGAAACTTAAGTAATAGTGAATCCAATCCAGAGCTCTTCGACTGGACTTTTTTGTGATGCCCTTAAACTATCTAGGAAACAAAATAATGTTGAAAGTTTACTCCCCGCGCGGGCATTTGCATATTTTTTTGAAGGTGGCTTTGAGAACCACCCATTCAGGAAGCGAGTTCCGTGGTGCCTGCCCCAACGACATGGGTGCGGTTTGCAAATTTAAAATGAAAATCATTAGGAAGTCCCTTCATATGGTTGACTTCAGTAGAATTTTCGGGAAACAATGCACTTTCCAACAGAAACCGTACCAAAAATATGTATTTTTGAACAAGCACAGGAATCTAACGTACGAATACACTCGAAAAAAACAAGTTCATAACTTGACTATGCCTACAGAAATATTTGGTTAAGTTAGTGAACAGTTTAGTGTAAATATTTAAAGACGACTGAGTCAATAGGGAGAAAAGTAAAGTAACAACGAAATGTCTTTGATTTCAGTATAAAATCAGGCCACTATTTTTTACAGTGTAATGAATCAGTCAGTCATTTACAATCCTAATATATTGTCAAATGAAAGTATAATCGATTAACTAAACAACTGCTATCCAATTTCCTCTTTCTCTCTTTCTCCACCCACCTAGCTACATATGCATAATCTAGGATAATTAACCTAATATTGAACGATTAGAAATAAAATCAATAAAGGAACATTGTGGCACTACATTTCTGTTAAAACAAAACAACAGGTTCACTATTTTTTTGCGTATTTTAGATAATATTTACATGAATTCTTAATTTGTAAAATATGAGTGGAAATATAACTGCTGATAAACTTTCCCCTAACAGTGTAAAAATATATCAAGTTCAATTTGATTTAACCCCATAGGAAAAAACACACACAGAGAGATTCGCTTACATTAAACCTGTCTATAGTTACATAAAAGTACAAATAAAAAGTAGGAACAAAGCATATGATAATGATAAAATTAAAACAAAACTTGTAAAGTTAAGTATAAATGTAAATGAAAGAGAGGAAGAATAAAAAACTGAAATTTACCTGACATGAAGAATCATTTACTCGTGTTAACACAAGTGTTTGACCTGATAACGTCATTTGATAATTACACCAAACAAGTGATTTTTTAGAATCCTATAAAAATTCAACAAAAAAGAATCATATGAAAAGTAATAATGTCCATTTTTCACCGTTATATGTTAATAAATAATCGAGAACTTAACTGGTCAGGCGTCGATAAGTAACTCAGGACCTAGCTAAAATGTGCAATGACCAAATTCTCCATACTTCATATTAATACGAAGGGATGGAAATTACTCAGAGTATCTGAGATAATGCATATACAAATTACAGTGAAAATAATATAGAAAGGAAAAACGAAATCAAATGATGGTGTAATACTACGTTTTAATATCTCGAGGAAGTCACAGAATGAATACATTTGCGCTGACGTGATCGACGTTGGGCTCTTCACTGTAATTGTAGATTTTCAACTAGCGGTAAAGACTACCACATCCGGAACCAAACTAGCGAATTTGTATCTAGAATATGAACGATAATTTTAAATCCCTTTACATAACAAGTACTGTCAATATGTATTGTCATAACTCATGAGTAAATAAACACAAGGATTACATCTGAGACAAATAACACTAGTAAATTTGATGTAAAATTGTTTAATTAATTACAACCTTATTTCCCAATATATGAAAATAAGTAAAAATTTCTATTGATATTAATGATATTAGGATCTAATATAACTAAAATACTTTTAAATGAATGAGTAGGGAAGGGAAATATGTTTCCAAATTTTAAAAAATAAATGCGGATTATGTAAAACAATATTGTATTTAGATTATAGTTCAGTTTGGAAACTTTTTTGGATTAACTAGGTAAAAAAAACTTCACCTACGACTAGTGAAAATAAACAAGACTAGTGGACGAGACCATAATTTATGGACGAACCAATGAGGTATAAGATAACAGGTCTTGGATCTTGCGCGAAACTCACATATCCATTTGGCTAAACAGAGTTTTGGTATTATAGCTGATGTCAGCTGTAAATCATAATTACATAATTATACAGGTTTATAATCCATATTTGGTACTAGTTATTAGGTGGACACTCTCAAGGTTAGTCTAGCATCGCTCAAAGGTCGTCCATAAATTATAGTCTCACCGACTAGTACTTATCAAGTTGTCAGCTCTTTATACTAAGCATATGATTCCATGTTTGACTTTCACTTCTATTCCTTCATCTTACTTATATTTGTCCTAGTATTGATATTTAAAACTTTTTGAGGTAAGTACAAATTTTTAAAAAAACAATTATTTGTCTATGTATCAATGCCTTCATATTTTATTAATTAAATGTTTACTTTTTCACGAAAAATGAATCTACGAATTATAACATAACTTTAAAAAATAGTAATAAAGATTTCTTTGAAAATTACAAAATATTTATGCAGAAATAATCAGAAATCAAAGTGACGCCGTACTTATGTTACAATAAACTGAGCCTGATGAAAATTAAGAAAATATTGAAGTTATATATATATATATATATATATATATATATATATATATATATATATATATCCAAATACTATATTACCTTAATATTTAGAAAAAGGGAAGTAAAAATACACACTCATTAAGCGGCAACAGCACGTGAACTACCTAATAGCGACCAGGTGAGAGTTAAATAAAGTCATATACGAGTTATATGACACAAACTCTAATTATACGGTGTAATTTAGCCCCCCCCCCTTTAAAAAAATTTTTGAGCGACATGACGTGCTTAAAAAATGTTAAATACCATTTCATAAAAGTGCGAATCAGTCGAAATTTATTATTTATTTATTTGAACACATAAATATTGGTACAAGAAAGCGCCAATACATATGCGCCACACAAAACAATGAGAATTCGAAGAGAAAAGAAAAGAAAAAAAGGTAAGGAGCGTAAAAAAAAGGAGAACAATAATGAAGAGGTTGGTGTAAGGTAGTGTAGTAATAACAATAGTAATAATGAGGGAAGGAAAGGTACAATCGGAAGAAATCTTTCAGTTAAGGAAGACACAACCACATTTTATGAAAAACGTAAAAGAAGGTTACATCAGGATCTCCACGTCTCTAGCCACTGTGTAGCATCAACCAGGGAGTCGTGAAGGACCAACGCAGGCAAGCCCTTTGTATCTTTCATACCACGACACAATGTCATACACTGACCACCTCTCCGCTTCTTCCAACCAGTCCCAGAGTCGGCAAATAATGCACGACGTGAAATTCTCTGGGACGACACTTGTAGAACATGTCCAAGCCACCGAAGTCGGTGTTTCAAGATGGTGACACCAATTGAATTATCATCTCTGTGCCCGAACACACGATGCCGAACCTCTGCATTACTGACATGATGTTGCCACTGGATGTCAGCAATCCTTCGGAGACAGCGATGATCGAACACAGAGAGTCGTCTAACGTCCTCAACTCGGAGAGGCCAGGTTTCACAAGCATAGAGCAAAACTGCTCTCACCGACGCGTTGTAGATCCGACCTCTTACAGCCAGACTAACATCACGAAGGCGCCAAAGATGGCCCAGATAGACATAAACCGCTCTGGCTTTCACTATTCGTGCATTGATCTCATCACTCACACCCCCACCAGCACTTATGCAGCTACCCAGATACACGAACTTCTCGACTACGTCTATCTGCTCACCATCCAGGGTGAGTACAGGATTGGAATCCTGCCAGTCTTGTAGAAGTACTTTGCACTTCGAAGGTGCAAAGCACATACCATACCTACGGACACTGATTGCCAACTGATTAAGTGCGGATTGCATGGGTTGGGCATTATCGCACAGTAAGACAATATCGTCCGCATACTCAAGGTGGAGAAGTCTTTCTCCAGGTAGCAGATCCACACCACCATTACTTACATTCATCAGAGCTGTTTCCAGAATGTCATCGATGGCAAAGTTGAAGAGGAATGGTGAGATTGGGCAACCCTGTCTAACCCCACTGCTTGAATGGAACAATGGAGAGAGGTGGTTGTATGCCCTCACTCTGCCTGAGGTGTTTGTATATAGGGCTTTTAGGATGTTAATGCCACATCGTCAAAATAGTTCCAGAATAGTGAGGATAGTAACCGTATTAATGATAGTAGAAAAGATTAGGCATCGAAGATACGAATCAAGATAGATAACTGAAATTTAAAAAATTGTCAGAGATTAAGAAGCTTAGAGTTTTGAGGAAGACAAAGAATGGGTGCACCTGAGTCAATGCAAAAAATTTTGAGCCGTGTCATCCAATCTATATCACATAATTATTACTTACACATTTCTTTTGGAAGATATAAAACAATTAACTTAACAAGAAGCCTAGGAACTGGGATTGATAATATTTTATCTGCAATTTATTACACGTTACTATAATAACAGTATGAAACATTTAGTGTTGACAGTCTCACGAAGACTAGTCAGTTTAAAAAAACAATGAAACAACAGAGAATGTCGTATCTTTTAATTGTTCATTTAGAAGTTATTGAACGATCGTAATATACTCAAATTACAATCAATCAGATGCGTGTGCGCAAATTTTTTCCCATTGGTATAATGTGACATAAGGCGTATATAAATATACTTTCAGGAACTAAGGTTACCCTCTACTGACCCCCCTCCCAACAGTATCAGATACTAATACACGACAAAGAATAGTAATTATTTGAAATTCCACTGTTAATAGTAATCTGTAATCTCTAAAATTGTGACTTTATAAAAAGATTTTAAATTACCATTTCATACTATTTATTTACTGTTCGCAACAGCTAGTCGTAGCTTTATTCACCTCCATTATATCAATTATTTATTACCAAAATATTCACTAAACTCGAGATCCTCAATTAATTAATATTTTCCCGATTATAGTTGGCATCTCGACACGGTTATCTGGTTCGCTTATTATGATGACCCAATTGAGACACATCGGGTGGAACACTTGATTTTTTATATTCTACCACACTAGGCAAAAAGGTTGAAGAATAGTACGGCTAGAAGTGGTAAGCATATGATCCAAGAGAGAAGTTGCACTACCAACTGTGCAAAGGTGTAATAGGAGTAAGATTTCCCATTCAGGCGACTAGCGTCTGCAGAAATGCTGCGTTTTGACAACAGAAGGAAGAGGTTAGAAAAGGTCGGTCCTAATATTAGCACACCTAGCCAAACGGATATCAAACACCAGATGGTAAGGCATTTAAAGTGAAGAACTAACACATCAAAAAGTAATCGCAAAAAGACCGTGTGTAACCGGTCTTAATCGGTTGTTTATTGGGCTCTAAGGTTGCGCTGCTAGGTCGTCAAGACCATTACCAATCCAGCTTCCTTTTCAAGCACCCCAAGACGAATCCCTCCATGGTGAAGGTAACCGGAAAGTAACAACTACCCACACACCCCTAACAGCACTCGAATTAACTTTGAGGTATAAAGCTTGACTAACAATAAATGATTTTAATGTGGAAAACCAATTAACAGAAATCTAGTGTACGTATGGTAAACATCTTTACGTCAGGATATTTAAAAGAAAAACAATCAACTTTGTCATAATATAAAACCCTAATTTGCAAATGTGAAATCAAAATCAACTAAAAATTATGAAGAATAAAAGCTAACCTCTATTTCAGGATCATTCCAGTCGATAGATGCAGTCACAGGATATGACGGTGTATGAGAGTTGGAAATTTTTACAGATTTCCTATCATTCACATCTGTAGCTTGATTTGGAAAACAATCACATAGTAAACTAGATCGTCTGATCGATTCAACTGAATGATAACCATGAAATCGTAGTTGTCCAACTTTAGATGAACTAACAGAGTCATCTTTATCTTCATCTGCAAGTGCACTGGTGGATGCTGACGTTGCAGAACTAGTGTAGCCAATCTATTTAAATAAATTTGAAAAGACTAGTTAAAACCAGAAGATTTAATAGAAACATTTTCGGTAATTAATGAATATTAGAAATAGTTCTTTGGTCAAGTACTTGCTTTTTATGGCAAACTTTTTCCAAGATGAAACACAAAACACGCGATCATGTATATACATATATATGTACATAAATATTTTTTTCTAGGCTTTATGAAAATACAAAGTAACACTTAGTGGAAGTGTCTCCATACAAATATTATTACATTTTTCTTTATGGTGCAAGCAATAAAGTTAGTAAGGAAAAAAGACTGTTTAGGCTTTCAAAATACCTGATTATAGTAAGTCTATATTGAAAATGAAAAGAGGACAAACACTTTTAATTCAAACACTAATAAACTTAACAATGATAGTTTTTGTGATTTTCAAACTATCCATTGTCAAAAGTGAAAAGCACCAATAGATTATTATTAGTTTGATTGTAGAGGAACACACTGTGAACACAAGTTCTGAATTAGGATGAAATAGCTACCCCGTAAGTCTGTCTTAGTTTTGAATGGATTGTTTAGTTGACATCATTTCATGGTGCACGTTATTCTTAAAAAGGAATGAATTTATTCTATGGAAGTTAAGATATGATATTGAATGCAATTTCTTTTAAAGATATTAAGTCTTTACAACCGGGATACGGCAAATCTCTAATTACGAACAACTGAGATTCTTTTGATACGAACGAGATCCAATATGAACTCGATAGACCTGAAGATTGGTACACAACATTTTGATAATAATCCTTAAGGCGCTGGAAGAAATGAAGAAATCAAGTAATAAGGAAAACTTGAGATTCTAAAACAATAGTCAAATTTGTGATGGAACATCTATGTAAATGTGGCAACCAAGAATGGCCTTAAGACAGCAAAATTATTGAACCAAAAGTAGGGGATATAAACGTTTAGGTAACTGAAAAATTAATACAGCTTAGTAGCTCTATAGGGCAGTATGTGAATAAGAGTGTGAAGCAAAAACCTGTTGCGTGGTGTGGTATAAAAATAACAGATATCAATTGTGAAAAAGAGATGTATTAGATTTGAGGGGTATACTATTCGGATTTTTAAAGTGGAAGATATGCAGTTCAAACTTAACCAAATAACTGGTCATATTTTTTGATAAAAATATATTACACAGCACATTGATCAGCTTACTATACAAAATAAAATGAAATATCGACTGATACTCACTGAATCACCAAGAATGTGTCTAATACGCCGAAGATGTCTAACGGTTCGAACTATTTGTGAACTTGGTACATTGTAAAGATTCAATGGTTTAGGATGAGGTAGGAAGGAATCAGCGACAGGGCTATATTTTACAATGAAAGATTTGAAAAATGTAGGTGAATATTGAAATCTACACAGGGGGAAATTATTTCATGATATCTTTAATTTAATAGACAATTATAAACAAAATGAATCATTACATTTATTATGGTCATAATAAATTTTCTTAACTGAAATCAAACTTTTGACTAATAAGAAATTATTTATGAAGGTCCTTGAACAAATCTTATGTAGCTATCATCACCCTCCACTCAGCCCCTTCAGCTTTTTAAATAACTAGGAGTGATGGTTGTGATATATTTAAATATCAAGCCAATAATGTTATGTAACAATTCCACTGAGGTTATCCCGGTATCAACAAAATGAAATCGCTGGTTCAGAATTATGCTTATTGGCTTGCAAAAGACCAGGATATTGATAACATATCAATACTTTTCTGACTGTTTGAAACTTGAAATAAGCTGTTCTTACAGTTAAACTATTATAATGCTGGAGACAAATAGTGAAATTAAGTAACACGTAAGGTACTGTTTTGGAATTCAATGTGAGATTTTATTGAGGATCTCGATTTGAGTAAGGGGTGGTTACATCGTAGTTTCCATTGACTTTTATGATCACCCTAACTAACAACACAAACTATCTGCTGAGAAAGATTATACTATAAAACCAAATATGAAATGTTCGCTAAAAAAGAGTCGTAAATAAAAAGATGACTAGGAAAAAATAAACTAATGAAGGTTTGACAACAGTCTTCTTTTTCACGAAATTTAAATAAACCTTAGGTCTGTTAAATAATATTACGCTTTGTAGTATTGTATCCTATTCCAATAAGCACTAAAGCATTACGACGGTATGATAAAAACGAAATTATTATATATATGTATATATATATATATATATATATATATATATATATATATATATATATATACCCACATGTCCGGAAATCAATGAAGAAAGCACAATGAAACCCTGTTGCTTATCCGTAAATAACAATAATAACACCACCCTTATCAACAAACGACAACACCGGAATATTTTAAAAAGACCCTCCCTATCCTAGAAACAATTATAAAATAAATGAAAGTTCTGCTTTCCAAGGAAAAAATGTATGAACGTAAATAACGCAAGCGGATCAGATGACCGGTCAATCGACAAGAGGCTGAAAAAAAAGAAAGAGGAGGAGGAGGAGAAAGAAAATTACAATCAATAAAACAGCACAACAACAATCCTAACCAAGTGGGTATATATATATATATATATATATATATATATATATATATATATATATATATATATATACTATTGCTAGCCTAAGTTGTGCAAGTCGATTTCCAAACTAGACGCAATATATCATTGGTTTTCAATAGCGTTTATTGAAATGACATTTTAACTAACATTTACTAAGTTGATCACCTTATTTTTCTAAGGACTAGTGATAAATACTGCTACTATCTGGCTGCCGAAATCAATGTAAGTGAAGTAGAGTTGAAAACTACAACTTGCTGATCGATAATCAAGCGATGTGAACATTGAACCACAACTTCAGCATCAATGAATAAATATAAATAAGTGAGAAAATGGTAAGATCTGAAAGACTTTATCGTTAAAAAAAGTATAATTCAGAAATCCATTAAGTAGGTAAGCAATCAGTCGACTGGTTGAATTAAATACAGTGGGAAAGATAACAATAACCAAACACGATTGTAAATCCTCCTAAGTCTTCATCAATATCAAATTAGCAGGAGACAAAGTGTATAATATAGAAAAAATAGAAACTGAGAAGAAAAAGGATGGGCGGGAGTGAAGAATAAACAAATACAGAAAAATTACTTTATGTAAGAAACTACTTTGATATCTCCACTTATACTAATAGTTTGAATCTTCCCAACGATGTTTAGAACTGCAATCGATCAGTCTGGCATACAGATAGATCTAACTGACGCGTCCCAAACAAGATGAGACGCTAGTCCTGGATTCCATTGCTAGATACCATCCGTTTGAGCTAATAACTTTATTCATTCTGATAAGCCGATAGTTCTTAAGAAGCACCAGACAACTGGAGAAACAGCATTACAATGTTTTAATAAAGCATTCCTTCCAGATATTGACAAACTCAATTAATTCAAGATAGTTCTCAACGACAGGTTACAAACCTAACTAGATCTACTCAAAGAAGATGAAACTAATATGGAGGACAATTGGAAATGGACCGAAGAAACACCAACTTCAACGTGTCAGGAACTGTCGAGCCGCAACAAACATCATAAACAATAGATCTATATCACAACCCCAGACAAGATTCAAGAAAAGAATAACAAGACGATAGCAATTACCAACAGTCGAACAAGAACAGAGAAATTCAATCCAAAGACCGAATACACAGAAACGAACAAGAGAATGAAGAGGTGTATTAGAGCTGACAAGCAGAAATACGTGAAAGATCTAGCAACAACAGCGGGAAAAGCTGGAAGAGAAGGGAATATGAAACAGCTATATGACGCGACGAAGAAAGTGGCAGGGAAATATAGTAAACCAGAGAGACTAGTGAAGGACAAAGAAGGCAAGACAATCACTGAGACTCAAGAACAGAGGAAAAGATGGATGGAATACTTTGGAGAACTCTCGCATAGGCTAAACCCAATGAACCCACCAGACATTGTAGTAGCACATACAAGCCTTCCTACAGCTGTCACTCAACCAGCGATCGAAGAAATCACAATGGCGATTAGATAAATCAAGAGTGAGAAAACGGAAGGACCTGACAATATACCAGCTAAAGCACTGAAGTCACACATAGGACTAACTGCAAACATGCTCATCATTCTTTTCAGGAAGATTTGGGAGGAAGAACAGGTCCCGACAAACTGCAGAGAAAGACATCTCATCAACATATCAAAGAAAGGAGATCTGAGCATATGTCAGAACTACAAACATATCACAATACTATTGGTACAAGGGAAATTTTCCAACAGTGTTGCTGAACCGAATGAAACATTCAGCAGACACCCAGCTTCGAGATCAACAGACCGGATTCCCTAAAGATCGGTCGTGCACAAACCGAATCGCGACACTAAGGATCATTGTTGAGCAGTCGATTGAATACAGGTCGTCACCACACATCAACTTCCTTGACTATGAGAAGGCGTTTGAAAGTGTGGATAGGAGAGCCTTATGGGACCATCTTCGACACTATGGAGTGATTAGATGAGAATATCGTCAACACCATATAGAATTCATTCGACGGATCACACTGCAAAGTCTTGCATGGAGGACAGCTCATAGACGCATTCCAAGTGAAGACCGGTGTCAGACAAAACTGCTTACTTTCACCCTTTCTATTTCTTCTGGTGGTTCACTGGATTGTGAAGTTCTCTACATCTCAAGGGAAGCACGGAAAACAACGGACAACTTGTATGCAGCTAGACGATTTGCACTTGGCAAATAAACTGGCCAACCTATCCCATACACACCAACAAATGCAGATGAAGATAACCAATGTAGCAGCAGCCTCTGTATCAGTAGACCTCAACATGCACAAAGGAAAAACCAACATCCTCAAATACAACACAGACAACACTAAACCAATCACGCTTGATCGAGAAAATCTCGAAGTGGAAACTTTCACGTACCTGGGAAGCCTCATCGATGAACAAAGAGCTGGTGCAAATATGAAGGTAAGGATTGGCAAAGTAAGGGTCGCATTCCTACAGTTGAAGAAAATATGCAACTCAAAACAACTCTATGCAAGCCAGCATCATAGTCAGAATCTTCAATACGAACGTCGAGACAGTTCTACTGTACGGAGCTGAATTCGTCATTAAACATGTACAAGTATTTATAAACAATTTTCTACACAAAATACTCAATGTCAGTTGACCGGACACCATCAGTAACAGCCTACTGTGGGAGAGAACAAACCAGCTTCCAGCTGAAAAGGAAATTATGAAGATATGTTGAAGGTGGATAGGACATATATTGAGGAAATCATCAAACTGCATCACGAGGCAGATATTAAGTTGAAGCCCCAAAAGGAAAAGGAAAAGAGGAAGACCAATGAATACATTGCGTCGGGAATTGGAAGCAGACATCAAAAGGATGAATAGCAACTGGAAACAAGTAGCGGGGATTGTTCAGGGCAGAGGTTGATGAAGGATGCTGGTGGGTGGTCTATGCTCCTCCACGAGGAGCGATAGGCGTAAGTAAGTAACAACATTTTGACAAGCTGATTTGAAGAAAAAAACGATAAACTACAACAACTTACCCTTCAGAAGAAGGAATATATTGGGATGATGATGTAACAGGTGCTGAAGATCGTAGAGAAGGATTCACATAACTTTTCTTCGTTCCTGGTCGGTTTACTATTGATGGAGACATTTCTGTAGGACTTGGTGAAGATGCTATGGTAGGTAAATAAAATAGATTAATTATGCATCACTTGTAACTTTAACACTAAATATAGAAGTAATGACAATCATTTTCCTGAAATACCCAAGGGCAAAGAAGTAAAAATGCAAAATGTATAATACTAGTTTTGTATGTTACAGAGGTGTTTTTATGAACCAACCATAAATAAGGTAGTCTCAAACATTAACACGTGTTGCACCGAAAATATTTTTCAGTACACTCGTTGACATTATATCTGAACAATCCACAGATTTAATGTACCCTTTACGCTCAACAGCACCTAACATACCCAGCAAGTTCTAAGTTTGACTATCTACCATAAACTATTTATGCTTATTGTCTCCTAATACAACAAAATACGTACATTAAAAAAAACTTCTTCCTGCGTCTTAAACACCAAATACAGTATTTATAGGCATACAAGTAAATGTAGTTATGAACACATCAGTGAGTATTCCTTACTTGAACAAGGGAAGACTGATTCAGGTGTTCTATTTGTCTCTAAATCTGAATATGTAGTTGAAATATTCGGTTCAGAATTGATGGTGGGCTTTGTACATAAACAAGAATCATCTCCATCCGATAATACAGGTGAAGGGACGTTTAAATTAGAGATTGTAAGCGTGGACACTACCGGAACATAAGGACTTCCAGTCATCCCCATTCCAACATATGGTTGTGGAGAACAGTGCATTCGAATCAAACTTGAAGGACTGTACACAGTCGAACCAGCTGCAGCTCGAGTAACAATATTACCTGGTCCCAAACGAACTATATCTGTAGCTGCTATATTGTATGTGGCATTCGTGGAAGATAAAGGTGGGGTATTCGTTGGACTAGGAACATTTGAACATGAAAAGAAAGAACCTGATTGGGAATTAGATGACACAGTATGTTTCAAATTGGTGGGAGAAGTACATGCAGATATTGATTGATAAGGCTTGGCTGAAGAAATACTTTTTTCAACCGGGTTCGAGTCCGAATTTTCTGATACAAGATTTGGTGAACCAGTGGCGAAAACAAGTCCACCAACGCGAGTCATTTGAGCAGCAAGGGAAACACGACTACTGTTGTTAAGATTATGCCACGTGAGTAGGTTATCACGAGATGTCGTGCACTGAGATAGACGAGGATTGCTATCAGCAGTATGGGTAGGAGAAATAGCAACGTGTGATTGGTCATGCGCTGCAGTTGTACCGGGACCTCGAACAAGGTTAACAGATTGGCTAGAGCTATAGCATACAGGTCTTCTAGTCCCTCGTGGGGAAACACGACAAACGTGAGGATACGGCGAAGTAGGATGCGTGGTTGAAAAATTCGTATTCCTTGAGTGTGAAAAACTGTAGTTGGGATCTGGTACCAAACGTTTCTGATTACAGCAGGTGACTGATTGAGATAAATAATGCCCAGGTTGATTAGTTTCTGAGGATCCTATTTGAAGCAGTTGATCAGTTGTCAGACCGCCATCGATAGCTAGTCTTGCAACAGCACCTAACTGAGAGTCGCATGAACCAATAACAGGAGAACAGGTAGAAGTGTGCTTTGGTTTGTAATTTATTTGCGGACCAGGTTTTTCGAGAGAGCTATTCCTTACATTAAAATTGCGTTGCGACCTAGCAGTGTCTGGAGATGAACGATAAGCCTGTCGATGTATTATTCGCAAATTCTCATGTTCTGATTTGTCTGATGAGAGTTCAGCAACTAAAAATAAAGACAACTGATATACTAAACGTTGAGGCAGAAATACATAAACATTTAAATGAATGAAAACTACATATGAACCACCATGATTTCTAAAAACCAACAATTTAAATTAAACAACAGGTTGGTATAAATCGGATTAAAATAAACATCAAATGGATTTACAAAAGAAACTAATTTGTGAGATGCGATAGAGACTATTGCTAAACAGAACAGTTTAATAACATACAATCAGTGTAAGAAAATACTGTGGTCAAACAACTTGAAAAACATTTCAGACGGCCTAAAGTCACGTGACATTTTCTCAGTAATCTAAAAAAGTTTGAACAAAAGATTAAAATCGCAGTATACATACTAAACAAACCTCTAACAGCACTTAAGACCACTGACTGAAACAAACCTCAGAAGTATGTGAAGAACTAAGTCAAAGTAAACAAATAATTTGAAATCTCTTATGACATTAGATGTAATATTTACTTATGGTATAAAGCATTGAGGAGAGATCAAGAACGAGATTATGAGTTAATTCAGCATGATATTCATTGAGTATAACATTCAATTGTATTCTGAGAATTTCAATTATGGATTCATTCAATATGACAGTTGGTCAATATATCATTATTTTCGGTTACAATTATTTTAGGCTTGACTAATAATCCTTGAGAAGTAGATCTATACACAAATAAGTGTATTGAGATGTTTCGGAAATTTAGTATGGATGTAAAATAAACTAATCTACTTTTTGTGTTCACTCTCTTGAGTCGAGTCGTACCCCATCAGCATGTTTTCAAGTGGAACAACTATGTGGCTAGTATCAAGGGATACATGGAAGTGCTTATAGATAATATTTAACCAGAATACCGAAAAGGGAGTAGTTAACCCTTCTTATCGACGAAAATTCAGGGTCATAACAGAATGAGTAAAGAAGAATTAAACATAGGATGGACACATAGTATTGTTAGCAATCATTAACGGCTGTTTAATTGTGAAATGGTGAACGTGGTTTTGATTTATAAGTTTAAATACATACGTTAAACAAATCAATAACATGAATGAAATCGATTAATAATTTCTGTTTATTTGTAAATTATTTATTCTCCAAGTAATAAGGAATTACAATTCTTAACAATAAAGTACTCGCTTCATAGCACATAAAAAATCAGTCAATAGTGTGATAAAATCTTAAATGTAAGAGTAAAATCCAATAGTATATAACGCAAAATTACTCACTGAATGATACAACTGCTTAATTATTAAGGACATTATTGAACTGTAACTTGGAAGTTTAAACTTAGCTTTATCTTCCAAGATTTCGGAAATTGGATGCTATCGTTGGTGCTTCTAAAATAAATACACTACATAACATACTTAACAGAAATATTTAGAATTAGAGCTCCCTTTAATCCTTAATTAAGCATACGTATATATTGAAAGTAGTCAGTCAAAGAGACTAAAATAACTTGTGGGATTAGAATGAAAATAATTTTGAAAAGAAAAGACTGATAGCTAAAAATTAACTTCCCAGTAACCTTAAGAACTGTACCGTTAAAAGTTGCAAAACGTTTGCTCAATTTATGAAATATGCTGTCCTACATACAGCTAAGGAATCCCACCACAGAGTTGGCTGAAGAACAATTCGACCTATGCGTCTGTACTCTCTAAGATAGTTAAAGAAAAGCCCCGTCCAAATCATGAAAGATGTTATTCAATAAATCATCTTTTTAAATTTATGAGACCATTGCTTTTTTAGAAAATAGACTATTTCACGCAACCTTTTTTATATTTAAATCTACTAAATAAGTCATTATGCCCTGAATGCTTTATTACTCGGCCTGATCAGTTCATCGGAGATTTCATCTGCCTACATACTTCAACCCAAATATAAGAAAAATTGCAAAGTCAACGGAGTGAACGCAGATGTTTAGTGGACATTTTATTGCAGAGATAAAATTTGAAAATCATAGTGATAAGCGTAATACGACAAACCAATGGAACTATACATAATATTATGGTTTCGGAAAAAGACGAAAAGAGTGGTAAGGTATTTTTAAAGTTTGTTATCATGGTTTTCATACATACATGCTTAACAATAACAACGAAATTGACTTCATCCAAATAGTGATTGCTTGCTGATATCCCTGGAATGTATTTTCACTAGCGAAAGGTCGATTTATTGTAATAAATAGTTACTCTACTTGTTAATATATATATATATATATATATATATATATATATAATCCTAATGAATCAAAATGCTTTACCTTTTTTTATTGTTTGACAAATTGTTTTGTTACCAACTTCTACTGGGAAGGAGCAACATATTTCACCTCCATTGTCTATCACTTTCAGTTTCAGTTCACCGGAACTAAAATGTACAAAAGTAGACTATGATTAGAACAAAAATTATTTCAACCAGAAGAACAGAAAAATATAAGAGCTCAAAGTAACTAGTGTGAATATGACTAACGCGTTGGTATGTAAGTGATAAATTGTAAATCATGAACTCAAAACCTGCTCTATTTATTAATGTTTGGACGGTAATTTATGGTTCATAATCTAAGACACGAACAGAAACGTGGTAGCTGTATTACAAAGTCAACATCTGTGGCTATCTACAACTTGAAGTTATTTCCAAGAAAAACCGTTACAATAGGTAACCAGAAAATTTGTCCAACAAAACAAACTAACAACATTCTGGAGACAATGAAGAAAAGAAATAACAGTAAAGAAAATACGAAAAAATCAAGTATATAGTTGTTGCATAACGAAATCTTTACATGGATTCAAAAAGCCTGGTCAGCGTTTGCCACTTTACGTCATCTATAGCGAAAATGAGATATCCGTCTATCAATAAAAGGACGAGTATACTGCGCGGCAGTCCGTTCTGTTTTAATTTACGGCAGCGAAACATGGCCATTAAGAGTAGAAGATACTCGTAAGCTATTAGTATTTGACCACAGATGCCTCAGAAATATTGCTGGCGTCTGCTGGGGTCACCGGGTAAGTAATAGTGAGGTTAGACGCAGGGTATTAGGGAATGATAGTAAACCAGTTGATGAGGTTGTGAATCTTTATCGACTGAGATGGTTGGGCCGCGTGTTACGTATACCTGAACACCGATTACCACGACGTGCAATGCTAACCGGCGTTCGGGATGGTTGGAAGAAAGTTAGGGGTGGCCAAATCAAAACGTGGCATCAGTGCTTGAAGTCACTAACTTCTAGTCTGAGCCATGTTGGTAGATACTACTAAACTACTTGGTTGGGGTCCGCGTGACTATCGTAACCAGTGATTGGAGACTCTTGGTGACATGGCTCAGAATCGATCACAATGGCGTCGGTGTATACACTCTCTGTCTTCCCTTAAACTAAGAGATTAAAATTGCTTTATATCTTTCTTTCTACGAACTAATTCATTCTTCCTGTACTATATCCTTATTGCAATCTTTCTTTTATATACTACCACCTCTGAATTAACTACTTTTATGAATCCGGTATCCATCTTGTTGTGTTAATGAGGTATGGCAACTTGGACCGATGCATATATGTGCCTGGTCCTACGTTGTAGCTGACTGACTGACTGACCAATGAACTAGAACATCGACCAAAAGTTCCCATCCTAGTTTTAAGCTCAACGACAGATCTACAGCACCAAAATTACGAGAAATGGCTATTGAGTCTCAGAAAAATAACACAGGTTTTCTACTAAGATAAGTCAAGTAAAGAAACACACTTAGATTTTTCAAGACGGTTTCTGAAAGGGAATGGGTCGATAGTATAGCATTCAATGATTTTTACTAGTGATTTGGCATAAAGTGCTAACATTTAAAACGAGAATATTTGATTCGGAATGGGGTTTAATGAGACTGGAGATGTCATTTTTTCAGCTTCAGAAGTTGGAAAAGGTTGTATATAACTGAGAAGTACAAATTAGTGAAGTGTTGAGCAGAAATAGAAAACACGGAGTTCACCTACTCCTGTGAAGCGAGATATGTTGACCGTAGCCGGCGTCTGCCTTTAGTTCAAATATGAGAACATATTTCAAGTTGGTTATAACAAGGGAAGAAGGAAAGCAATAGAGATCTATCCTTGAACACTGGAGTAGCTGTGATCCCTCGAAAAACTCACATGTTGATTTTAAGGTTGCTTGTAAGATCTATCTGAATCTACCGAAAAATTCTTCGATTCTAACTCCCTAAAAAGCAGAGGCCTTAGCTATCCATGAGGTGAAACCTGGACTTTATATACGAAGAAGGCATTCCTTATCTTCATATTTATCATGAACTAAACCTATTGCTATTTTACTATTATTTAATAAATTTCATATTTGGAAATATTCCTCTTTCTATATTTATCTTTTGTGTTACGGGTATGCCGCAACCGAAACGATAGTCACAACTATTATGTTTCTCACAAACTCAGTTCTCTCGCTTAACCGACTTCAATCCACTGGCATATTTTATCAACCGTGAAATCGCGATATGATAGCGAGGAACGTAACCAAACAAGCAATAACTATTTGTATAACGGTTACTGTGGTGTATAGATTCTAAAGTCCACTACAAACCAGGAGACCCATAGTGATTATTAGTTCATTTCCAGCTAATCGTTTCATGTTATAAGCAAAAATCTTGAATATTGTGTGGTCGAGTGAGATTATTTCGAGTATACTGACTTGTAATAACTACGAACCCCCTAAAATACGAGATAAAAAATCGAGTTGATGTTTCAAAGCAAAATATTAAGAACGAATACTTGAAAACTTCCTTGAACGAAAAGCAGAAGGAAAAAACCGCATCATTTAGCTAAAAACATGTAGGCTAACTATAATTCATTGGATTTTACATAAATACCCAGTTTCATAACAAACGACAACACTCAAGTCACAAAAATAATACAACCTAATCGATTAAGTAAATAAAATTATGAAACAATACCTGGTAGAGTCATTAATTAAAGACTGCAATTCATCGAGTTTTAGTCCACCAATAGGAATCCTGTCAATACACGATACAAGATCCCCAACTTTTAATCCAGCTGATAATATTGAATTCGATGGAGAGACTGAAATTACACGACTGTATTGGGAAACGATATCTGGGGGGAAATAGAGTAAAAATACGTCATATAAATATGGAATTAAAGGTTTTCGTCAAGGTAAGCCGTGAAACTTTCAATACCTAGGTTGGTGTTAGTAAATAGCATTTCACTTGATATCTCACGAGTCAGATCTACGCCAAAGAGACATGTGGATGTCGAAGCAACAAACTTATAACTATTTAGCTCATAACAAATGAGAAAAGTACAAAGTTTCAATAACATGACCTTGAAAAACCTGATATTTTATATACCGGTAAAATCTGTTGATAGGAAGTCCTCTTACAGTCTTATGGACGGTTAGCTAACCTTACAAAGTAAATTCTCCGCGAGGTCCCAAAAAGAGTGCGAAGTAGTGACTACTGATAATGTTGAAGATATCCTAATTCAGAACACATACAGTAGGCCATGGAAAGGCTCTCCGAAACAAAATGTACTTAATTCAGCCAAGAAAACTGGTTATGATGACTAATCAGTAACGTGAGGTGTTTGAAATCGGTCGGTTTTCTAAACCCTGTTAGTTTGAGATGTTATTGAGATCGCTTACTATCCAACTCGTTTCTCTTGTGAAATAGAAGGCAGTTGATGAGACTATCTAGTGAGATCAACTTTGAGCTACGATCACATTACACCGGAATGCTACATTTACTTCCTAAGGGAATAGACCATTTCCGAAAATGAATAAGTACGACAAATGACAACGTAAGTGAAGTGTGGACTTTGGTTTCACTAAAGGTCGAGGCTGAATATATCCCAAACTAATTTACTAATGCTTACATAAATATAGTTTTCCAATATTAACATATATGAAATAAGCCGAAAAAATATCACGATTTTGGGAAGCGAAGTCGCCCTGACAACTTTAAGAGTCGGATAAATTATTTATTTTACATTCAGATAAATCCTAACTATACGCGCTTACTGAAGAAAGATAACGATCACAGTTGCTTATTTGACAAACAGCACCCATGAATCAGCCAAATACCACTGCTTTATAAACATGTTTCATGTTTGCGAATACAAATTACAAGACTGATTAACCTTGGGAATACCCTTAACAAGAGTGACTTAAATATAACGGAAGTTCATGACTCCCGAATAAAAGTCAACCAAGTCAACAAACGGCAACGTACACTAAACGCAATGTTTTGCAGAATCGAATCATTTCAACCACCTACCACATCTCTACTATTAATCATTTTAATCTGTGCTGATTGTGAGGTGACGACATAGTTCTGAAGAAAGTCCTTATTGACATCGAATCAGAACCTCACAAATCAAACAAAACTTACTCACCAAACACTTTCACATGCTTGAAAAACCTACCTGGTTTGTCAAGAACAAACTCTCCATCGCCAACAACTACCTTTAAAGCCGATTCTCCCATACTCCAAATGAGAAATAATTAGAATGATCTACACCATTTCGGTAAGGAACTTGACATGTGAATCATCATTCAAATCTTTATGGTGAAATTCCCTGAATATCATGATCTTACTACGTTTTTAATAAAGACGTGACAAGAAGTATCCACACATACATTTTAGTCCCATTTGTTAGGTTGGCAAACCATTTGCGACCACAGCATCATATATTGAGAAATATTGTTTCAGAGGTGTGAAATTATTTGTAAAAATATATCTAAAATATATAATTTGAAAGGCTTATATGTTAGGCATTCAGGTTCATAAAGAAGTCATGAATAATAATCCGAACTGATCATCGAAACATCATCAGAAAACAGACTCGAATCGTGCGCCCTCCCATAATGCAGATTTTGTGCGGTGAAACTCATAAAAAAATAGAGCCTTAATCTCTAAACTTTGTTGGGTATAATTAAAGGACTTCTAATTCACGTAGATATTTTTGTATTGTTGGCAACAAATTCGTAGTTCTCTGAAACTTGATGATTCCATATGGCTGAATCATTAGCGGCAAATAAATCCACAGAATATATAGTTCTGTAAGTTTTCAACATCTATCCCGACCTCATTAGTTTTATTGGATACACTTAAGCTGAAGGCACTCTGTCGCGCATCCGCACCAGGTCATTTAGTGGCCGACTTGGACCTAACGCTTCTAGATGTATCGAGAGCTTTCCAAATATATCCTTAAACCCCTTTATTTCTGACCTAATTTGATTGAGTTTGTATACTTCGATCAAAGTGTTAAGTTTAAAGACGTTGTCAAACTCGGAATACCTGTGGCATCTTTAAGTTCCTTAGGGTCAGATCATAGGTTGTAGGTGAAGGTTACTGGCTACAGAAAGTCATAACTGACATTTTATCCGTTCGATGCATCTCAGCACCTTCGGAAGTAGATGTGAAGATTTATTCTGAAAGAAGACATCACCACCATATAAATTCAGATAATTCAGATGTTTACGGACAGAGAAGAGGAAACTTTTTTTGATGAACCACTGTGTTTGTTAGCAATGATTTACCGATCGATTGAGTTAGGAACCTATAAAAATGAAATAAATAGAAATAATAGAAATATCAGTAGAATAGTACGAAACGGCATCCAAACTCATGAGAATGTACCAAGTTTCTCCTTGGAGGAACCCGAGGATGTTACTTTCAACTACACTTTAAAATTCCTATACTTGATCACTTGTAAAGAGTAAGATGTGTGCCTTCAAGTCAAGTGACTGTGCTTGACTTCTACTTTTCGGATATTTCCTTTGAGATTTGTATCAGAACGAAGCTTATGTGAGTGTTCTAGAGAATGCTTAGGGGGTCTTACGGTTCTGCAACGGGTAAGATCTCGGGGATTTTTGTTAGCGAATTCCATTGCTTTGTGTACATTCATCATTGTTCTAATTTTAAGTGACCTCTTGGTTGTAGTTTAACACTGAAATGTATAAGTGATCGTTTGAGGTGGGAAATATTGTGATATACGATACATCATCATCACATCACTTTTATTGTGCATCACTGAACAGACAGCACTTTTGGTGTTGCCAGAAGTTTAAAGTAAGGTTTATTCTTGAGTTCAAAAACTAGTTCGACTGCTTTTCTTCAAACCCGTCCCATGAAGATGATGTTTTTTTCTGAGGTATGGTGACATGATAAAGGAGATTTTTCCAAATAACGTCTGTAATACAAAGAACATTTCTAAATAGTTAAGGGATCAGGCTAACGTTTCCTACATAGCTGATGACTTCTGCGTAGCAAGCTATCTAAAGCATATTGAACAATCACCCATTTTGAACTTCCTCACCAAAATCACCTCAGATCAGTTGATTTGCTTCAATCAACTTCATACGACTTCACATTTGATGTGCTAATGTTAGCCCACCTCACGACAAGATACTCACGTACTTTTACATCCTTCAGTAGCGTTTTAGAAGTTTACCAACTTTTGAAAGACTTTTTATTGGTTCGAAATTATTTTATCTTTATCATAAATACGTCTATCAAACTTTGCGTATATCACGCCTCCTTTGTTTCTATTCCCTTATTTTCTCCCTTTCTATCTTTAAACTCAATTCAATATTCTTCTCAATTACACATAACCTGATTTATTATTATTATTCTATTATTATTACTTAATTTTTCAAATATGGCAAATATAATTCTAACATTATTGAAACTTGTGTATTATTGCATTTTCGAAGAAACCCGAAATGGTTTCTTCACAACAGTTATGTACCCATAAGATATTTTTAAATAATAATAATATCAACACTGCTGTTTGTGTCTATAACTTATTTTACCTAAAAATGGTTCATTTTGGTGGTCACTTGATATTTAACATACTAATAAAACACATCTTGAATTGTTCCACCGGAAAAAAACTTGAGATTTGCTGACTATTGATGGCTATTTTCTCGGCTGCTGTGCTTCAATCTCCATTATTTTAGCATCACGTTTTAGATACCCAGCTGTGGAGCTCCCACCTAAACTTTGACTTAAAATGCACATCCATCAAGATCATTGTTCGTCCCAAACACTGTGATCCGGTCGGATACCCTTTAATAATTATTAAATTGTCGTATAGTTGTAAAATAAACCTACTTATTTCATACAACCGAATTCCTTGGTAAATTTAAACAAAGTAAGAATAACCAGGTTTGCAAAACAAAATGAGTTCATTCTATTCCACAGTTTCTGATAAGCTCCACACAAGCTAAAACTACAATTGCACATAGGATTTAAGTATTTCTATTCATGCACTTTGTACTCCTATTCTTCCGATTGTCATGGTTTTGGTCACGTTTCAAAAATTTACATAAAATTCATAAACCAAATTATGCTAAACATTTGTTGGTAAGTATATTTATATTAGTAATTATAATTTTAGGTTGTATGCAGCTGATGGGAAATCCCAAGATTGGATGAATTCATTTTATTCTTCAAACCTTGTAGTTCTTGTTGTTTAATGCCTAATTAATACCTAGTAGTTATATATATTGAGATGAAATCATGCAAATACACGCTAACTCATCTGAAAAAAAGTAATCCTGAGTTTAAAAACTGAGTCGATTAACTTGATGATGATAATTAAAAGCCAACATGATATTTTATATCATTATTAGAAAGGATTCCTGTGGCCTTGTTTTTTGTACATTTGGTTGAATTTCAAGTAGTGTTTAGTAGTAGGAGTATATCCTGTGAAGATTACCTCAATATAGCCATTTTACAACTTCTTATCTAATGAACAGATTGTAGCCAGCAGCGAAAACCTTAACTTATGTCAAGTTTTTATTTATGACTCATTAGCGAAATGTAGGTGCACATCTTACCTATAAATTAGTACCTCTCTCCTCAACCCACCTGCATGTTGTTCTCAGAGTCACTTAATCGAAGTGGCCGTTTATCTATGGAATGACAATAAACCTAATTCAAAATTATATAAACATAACTAACAGGTTCCTACCAAAACGAAACGCTCACCCCGGGTCCCGATACCAGCCACAATCCACCTCTATATTGTTTCTAGCCCTTAAGTAAGTTGATCCTTAAAGTGAATGGTGGTTGCGACTTGCTTACACGTAGTGTATCTTAGAAAAAACAGAATACTAGAAGGTAAGTGACTCAAATACATCGTTTACATAAATGTCAGTAACAGGACAGCGACACTAACTCACTGTAATTCTTACGATATCTTGAAACCTAAATTACAACTTAAAGTGCATGGTTTCGGTGATCTAATGTTACTAAGATATACTTGCAATTTAATCCATTTCTATGGGATCTTTTCATTATTTTTTGTGTGAATTTATCAGTAAGGTTCTTTTTATTACTTTTTGTGAGACAGTAACACTGTTTATCAGAAAATAGGTGATTTGCGTTGATGTTTGCTGTCTACTGAAGTTTTAACGGAGACTTCCTAGCTGACCGCGATAGTATAGAGCCCCAATTTTGAATTGATAATTTCTGTCACTGTTTTGAACATAAATTATTTTTCCTCCTCTCCGTTTTGTACGCATGTGTCATTAAATTTACACTATCTAATAACAGGTTTTGCGCGTCTTCATGCCTATATGTATAATCTTTTAAAAACAGTGCCTCATCTTTTTTGTCCTTAGTCATCATTTTATCTGACCTCAAGGACGTGCGCGAACTCAGACGTACTAACAAATACTATCTAACAAGGTGGCTTATTTTTAATTTTCAATTTTGTATAGTTCGGTAATTTCTGTGTCATATTTTGTTCTGTTCAGTTTATTTTTTCGCAAACATACAATTTTATATACCTTTAGTTTCTGGGAGGAGTCAGTATAGGACCTCTTCTACACCTCACTTTGGTTACGTTTTACTTTGCCAAACCCATCAATTAACAGCGTCATTCGAGTGGTAACAAGTTGTATATATTGATAATATTATGGCTGTATGATGATATAATCTTCATAACATGTGACAGCTTACGCATATATCTTTCTTTCTAGCTTAAAAATTGGTTACTTTGATCTCTCAATAAATCATTTGCTTCCACACATATGTATATGCTTGAACCTCATTATTTGATTCGACTCCTCATTCGATTCTCAATTCGACTCTTAATTCTCTTTTGTATTCTCTACTGTATTTGCTCGTCTGAGCGCATTAGCTCTTCTGTTCGAATTTTCTTGGTGCACTTATGGCTTCGTAATCTGTGCTAGTCAATAATGGACTGTGGTCGGTGCTTTGAGTTGCCCTTTGAATTCATACACTGTTGGGAGTGATAAAATAACAGTTATCAGGGCGATTGATGTATAGAGCCTTAGGATAATTTCGAATCTAATCCACTACACCTTCATTTGTAAGTTTACAAAATATTCTGATTTGTGCGGGATCAATATCACTGATTATATCTTCAACTCTGGTCTTCTGATTTTCATTATCTGTAACAATTTGTCAGTGATAGAGGTTACATTGTCCATTTGTTAGAAATTTTTATTGT